TCTGTCGAGTGAATATCAAATTTTCCAAGACCTCTTTACGCATTATGCGCCCTAGAAACTTCAACTATTGCTTCATGATACTAAGTATAAGTGTCCTTTTCATTTCCATTTTTGCTAAAATTTTGTCATTGTTCAGTCCACAATATCTTCAGCATCCTTCTGTATTTCTATTGCTTTAAGTCTCTTCATCTGCTAAGAGATTGTCCAGCATTCACTGCCATATAGGAGCAATGATATTACATAACAGTTCAGTACTCTTTTTTTTTGTTTCTAACAAAATTGTCCTGTTTCTTAATACTTTGGTTAGCTTTTGGAAAGCATCTTTCACTATCCCAATATGCCTTCAGATTTCAGTATCTGCCCTCTGTTAGAACACTTCCCAAATATTTAAATTGTTGTACTTGTTTGATTTCAGTATCTCCAATTTATAATTTGTAATGTTGGGCTGTCCCTTTTGCTAGCAACTATGCATTCTGCCTTCTTGTATTTGATGGTTAGTCCTTTCTTCTTGCTTTCCTTTGCTATCTTCTGTAGGAGCTTCTTGTGGTTCCCTTTCTATGTCTGCTATCACACAACTGCATATCTTATGTTTTTAAGATTGTGGCTGTAAATAATAAATCTTGGTAGGACTTTGAGTTCTCTGGTGCAAATTAATCAATCCAAATTGTTTGGTCCAGATAACTGCCACATTTATTTGCAACTTGTGTGGATTACTGAGGTTTAGCACTAGATTTTCAAAAACAAGTCTTTCAAAGCATGAATGCTGGCTATTTTTCTACTGATCCTCAACTAGTGATGCAATAATTTGCATAAGTTGGTTAATACTTCAAGTTCAGGGATATCTTAAGTCTAGGCAGCCTTCCCTTTGTAAACCAAATGAATGGCTATTGGGGCTTAATGTAATCGGAGTGGGATTTTTTTTTCTCCTTTGCTGATTCATTGGCTGTTTTTAATTTATTGTTTTTTTTTAAACATTGTGCACACAATTTAAATGTTTATACATGATTTGCTCTAAAGCGTGAGGATTGAAAAGCCAGTTAGCCTCATTTTTGTTATTTTCTTCTTGTTACTCAATTCACCTCTTTACAGCAATTTATTTTATTATTCTTGCTTTTCTTCACCCTGTTTGTTGTTTTTTTATATACAATTTCAATATGTCCGTCTGTATATGAGTAATAAAGTTTTATACCCCCCTCACAGACTGTTTAAATAATAAAGGAAGAAAATCTGCCAGAGCCTGCATTGTATCAAAACAATTGAAAGTGCCAGGAAAATGACTGTACAATTTATGTGTTAAATTCCTTACATCATAGCATATTAAGAATGTTGTTTACAACAAAAATGTCAAAACATTTCTATATTCAAAGAATGTCCTTGAAGAGGCAGGTTTGATAATACAACAAATTCCGTTCAAAGTTTTCATGATTGCATATTTGTATTGACAATGATGGCTTATTTGTGGAGTAATAATTTTAAATACTATTTGATTTGTCAATAAAAATAATTTCTATCCTATGTAATTTTGTTTTTCTTCTATTTTTCATAACAAATCTGTTAATTTATCTACACATCTTTCATTTGTATACTCTTAAGGTGTCAAATACAAGTGGCAGGGATTAACAATTGCCAAGGATTTTTTTTCATCACTATGCAATAAACAAAGGTCTTAATAAAAAGGCTCATAAACTCATTTAAAGGGTCAAAAAGTACAAAATTATGAATAGAGTGCTCAGAAAATTTCTTCAAAAACAAAAAAAAAAAGAATAAATAAACATAAAATAACGGTTGTTATTTGTAATCATTTTTACATGCCTAAGGGTACTTACTGGACTCACGAGAAGTTTTTAATATAAAAAAGTAAAATTATTCTACCTCTTTCCTGAAATAGCTTCTATAATAACAATTACCGTTTGTAACCATCTGATGTAAGAATATAATTTCCCTCTTATTAATGTCAAAGAAAAATATTAATACTTGTTCATTGGAAACTTACAAATGAAAGCCATGATACTAAAATCTGAAGTTAAGTGAGCTCTGGCCAAGATGAAGGTAAACAAAACACCAGCTCCAGATGACGATATTGTAATAGAGATTCTTGTAGCGTTATACAATCTCGGAACTAATTATGTTACCAAAGTGATAAGAGAGATATATGATAGTGGTGAAATACCAGAGGACCTTCATAATGCTGCCAAAGAAACTAGGCATGAATGAATGAAAAATCAGCTTAATGAGGCATATAAGAAAATGAATAATTGAACTTTTAATACATATGTCTGAAATTTAAAGTCATAACAGATTCAGTCATGAAGTCATTTTCACAAAATCTTTATTAAAATCTTAAAAGATTTAATACAGAGTGATTGAAAAGTAACTACCCATTTTAAAATACTTATAATCCACTAAATATATATATATATATATATATATATATATATACCCAAGTATATGATTGGTGTATACGGAATGAATTCCAATAACCAACAATTACTATTCTTAAAAGAGTGCTCAATACAAAGTAGAGCAGATATAATTATTTATTTAAAAAAAATTTATAACATAAATATGTTATAAAATCACTACAAAAATAGCCATTTTGTTTCAACACCCCCTGTGTCTTATCTTGCGAAGGATTGTTAATTAATTTGAAACTTTTAAAACCATTTATTTTACATTCAACATCATCACTTGATAAGACACCAGGGGTGTTGAAACAAAATGGCTATTTTTGTAGTGATTCTATAACATATTTATGTTATAAATTTTTTTTTTAAATAAATAATTATATATATATATATATATATATATATATAATCCACTAAATATAATATATAAAACAGAAATGGAATGTTCATTTAGACTTTGGTGAGTTTCTCCTGATGTTGAGTAAGTGTGTGATGTCGAGTGGAAACTTTTAAAAGAAACTTGCCCTAATTGTGTGTAATTTTTCAAGTACTTACTACCATTGTTAGTCATTTCAAAATCCAGATTATTAACAGCATCAACCCTCCAGTGAGCATCCTTCGACTTTTACATTCTTTCCTTGACAATGACCTTCATTCCTGTAGTATTTGGAACTTTACACATAATTTGAGAGAAAAGCGTTTAGCATGAGGTTTTATTTAAAATTTGATATTAGCACAAGATTTCAGTACCAACTTCTAGAGCTGCCCAAGAATTGCATCAACTGTTTTCACCAGGAACTCTTGTGGTATGGAAGACATAACTTCTTGTATCCGCCTTTCAAATTCTTCCAAAGTCTTGGTTTGGTATAATAGACTTGATCCTTTAACCAATTCCAAAGAAAAAAGGTCACAGGGTGTTAAAGTCAGGACTCCTGGCTGGCCACTCATATATAAAATAGAAAGTTACTTTTCAATCACCCTGTAGACTATTTTCTTTGAAATCTCACCCATTTTTTGCAGAGATTCTTCAGTTTTAATATCTTTGATGTTTAATAGAATTTGACTATAGATTTAGTGTGAAAGATCGGGGAAGAAGAAAGTGTGAAGTTATATAAACTTATCTTTTTTTTTTCCCCACAATGACTTTCTGTGGAAGGGGAAAATGAAAGAAGACAGCAGGCAAGAGGGAATTTATTAGGGAAAGTCTGTTGCATTGTGGGAGAATTGTATAAAGCAGTGTTTCTCAACTTTTTACTTCAGGATGCACTTGTAGAATAACTAAAACTCTGGGGCACATTTTAATAACAAGAACTTAATCATGAAATTTGATAAAAGGAAAATAATAAAGCAGTCTCCTGAAATAAGCATTTATTCTTAAGAGATTTCAGCAAACTTGGACCTTTCTGCCCACAAAAAAATGGATTGTCAAAAGGACAGTTTTTCCCTTGACACCACTATTATTTTAACTACCTTCACTCCTCAGCAATGTTTATTGTTTTAAAAAGCGAAGATTAGAATTCTAATAAAATCTAAGCATATGAAAGTGAATTTATATATTGTTCTTTTGTTCTTGAGAATTTACAACAATAATAATAGACATTATTTATTTAGTAGATTGTTTATTTACAATAATTTTATATCTACAACATTCTAAAAACTATTACAATTAGAAATAATGCAATGCAATATTTATCATTTCCTAATTTGTAAAGAAATAAATGTGAAAACAATTTTTTATTCATAAATTTATAAACATTTACTAAATTATTAAAATATGTGAGCCAGCTATAAGGAAATCTTTATTATTTGCCATTTTATAAAGTCTGAATCAACTGGCAATTAGCCAACATTTTGCCAACCATTCCAATAAATAATAAATAGTGTAAATAAACAATCTAATAAATACAGTATTTATTATTTTTGTTGTCAATTTTGATACTGTTTGCAAACACAAAGGTTCAAGCTTGTCAACATTTCATTGTATATTTAAGCAGTACAGTTTTCATGTAAAGAGATTTATGAAGAATTTGCTTATATTTTTTTTTTTTAGTGAGGCCAATAATGACCGATTTTTACATTTTGAGGAAAGTAAAAAGGAAAATGGTTATTGACTCCTTAACGATTAAGGAATTTAGTATCCAGTTTAAAATATCAAATGATAAAGGCTGGATTTAGAAGTCATGTGCTTGATTTCTAACATTTTAAAAATAAAGATATTTTAAATGTAAAAATAATTCACAAATTACTCTTCTGTTCACTTGTGGGCATACCTGGCTACCTTTCAGTGCACTAGTTGAGAAATGTTGGGTTATAAGGGAATAAAGAGGTATGAAGAGACGAGCACTTCTGGGTCTAATTATTAATCATGTGCGTGAAGATGGGAAAAGACGTTGAGGTGGAGGTGAATGGAAGCAACCAAATAGATGAGTGCTAAAGGTATCATGTTCATTTCATCTTGTCCTTTTTTTCTTCGCATAAGAGAAATTACAGGAACACTAGTGAGTGCTGATAACTTTTTCATTCTTCTCTCTTTCTTTTTTTTCTCTCTCTCATTTAAATCACAAAAGAGGTTAAAAATAATAACATCAAACTTACCAGCTATCAAATAGCTAATCGTTGAATAAGGAGTGAAATGGAATTCTTCTTTCAACTGTCCCCGCATTAACATGGTGGCGACGATCCTTTCACAGGTTTCCATCGTTAGATTTGGGGGTTTCACTTCTTTCAGTCTGGAACCTGGAGGTCCTTTGCCAAACCAGGCATCCAACAATTTGTTCAAGGTTAGTTTCTTGTCAATCTTCACACCATGGGTCACCAGCTTCAGGATATCCAGACATTGAGTAGAGACATTTTTTTCTCTAAAAACTTTTAAAAATTAAAAAAAAAAAAGAGAGAAATTTATTTATGCCTGAAATTTCTGGTATTAGAAATTATTATTATTTACATTAGCTATATCCAGACTAATGTCCTCATCATTATCATTATTATTATTATCCCAACGTTTCAACCACAGTACCCTCCAGGCTTCTTCAGTTGTCTGATGATCCTGGGAATTTCAAACAACCCATAATTTAATATACACAGGTAAATTATTCCTGTTCAGCTATCAATATTTTGCTCATGTATAGAACTGCTCAGTTATTGCTTACCGTGTTGCTATTGAGAGAGATAGCGAGTCTGAACTACCACACCCAGGAAGTGACCTCACAATTATGTCACCAAATTAACAAACTAACACTTTAATCCACTAGCCTATTGCCCCATGGATTAAATAAAGGGTTCAGTTTGGTTCCCTAAAAGTTACACAGACCAACAAGCAGCTGAATTAGGCTGGAGTCACACTAAATGTTCTGATACTCTCAGGCTTTTTTCAGTTTTCTCTCGATCTGGGTAACCTTTACGAAATTTCAAACTGAACCCTTGATACATGGGAGTAAATTATTTTCATTCCATTGTTTATATCTAAGGATATCTTGTTCTTATTTAGTAGTGCTCAGTTATTATCTAAGCCCATAGATTAAAGAAAACAGTCAGTTCAAAATTCTCTGATTGCCTTTCAGAAACTAAGCAAAACAAAGTGAAAAATATTACAAAGACAATAGTACTGAACAGCTATATAATCTATAATCTCTTATATAGCAGTGAATGTGGAACAATCTCCTCATTCCTTCCAGAAGGTAATAAAATTATTAAGTGATAGGAAAATTTTGATGGAAACAAAGATAACAGTGCTGAAGTGCAATGTAATATCTAATCTCTGATATGGCGGTGAAAGATGGGCAAACTCTTTATGCCTTTCAGAAAGTAAGCAATGTTTTAAGACATAGGAAAATGCTGTTGGATACAAAGAAAAGAGTGCTGAACCACTATGTAGTATATAATCTCCCATATGGCAGTGAATGTTGAAAATTCTCATCAGGCCTTTCAGAAACTAAGAAAAGTATTAAGAGATAGGAAAATGTCATGAGAAACAAAGAAAAGAGTGCTGAAATGCGATGTAATATCTAATCTCCTATATGGCAGTGAATGATGGGCAATCTCCTCATGTCTTTCAGAAAGGAAGCAAAGTATTAAGGGATAGGAAAATGTGGATAGTTGTTTATATACTAATACATCAAAATTGCTTCAAAAATAAACAAGATATCAGTTGAAATTGAAGGAGATTTATTTATTTTGACACATTTCGCAGTTGTAATATCTAATCTCCAATATGGCAGTTAATGTTGGATAATATCATCATGATATATGCCGCTAACATTGTAGGGAACTATGCACATTCCCTCTGTATTCCATTGGTGAGAAGTAAGTTCCACTCGAACAGCTTCTTCCTGTGAACCACTGCTCTGCGGAACTGACTCCCAAGAGGATGTTTCCCCCCAATCGCTACAATCTTAACCTGTTCAAGTCTAGAGTTAACTAACCATTATCTTCCCCTCCTATCAGCATAAACTGCTTCTTACTCTGGAACCCTCTGCTTTAAGTGGCCCTTGGGCCTTATACAGGGTAAACCTCACTATAAAAAGAATTAAGATTAGAATATCGTTAGACAGAAAGAAAATAGTTCTGGACTGTGATGCAATATCTAATCTTGTATATGGCAGTTAATGATGAGCAATCTCCTCAGGCCTTTCAGAAAGTAAGCAAAGTATTAAGAGATAGAAAAATGTCATTAAAAACAAAGAAGTGCTGAACCTCTAGATAATATCTAATCTCCTATATGGCAGTGAATGCTGGGTAATCTCCTCATGCCTTTCAGAAAGGAAGCAAAGAGATAGAAAAATGTCATTAGAAACAAAGCAAGTGTACTGAACTGCTATGTTATCTCTAATCTCATATATGGAAGTGAATGGTTACCCATATCAACAGACACCTGAAGAAAGACGGAGAGCACAATGGCCGAAACGTTGTGATAATAACAACAAAGATAAGGAGATTAATCTGCGGTTAAATAATCTAAAGAAAATGAAATGTTATTGTTTACATATGCATTTCTTTGTATTTTAATTTGGAAAATCAATTCTCTTTGAGATTTTCAATCAGGAAAATATTCCTTCCATTCCTTTAGTGCTTCAAACAATTACACCTGTTGAGGTAAATGTTAAAAATTATTTGAATATAACAAATAGGATTTACAAAACAAATATGTCAAAATACAATTCACCATTATGATTACATATATGACAGAATTTGTTAAATAGAATACACTCAAAAGGAGGTGGAAGTTACATACCATAAAAAGATTTAGATTTGCAAATATCACACATCTTATTGCAGTCAATGGGACCAGAGCTTTCCCCAAAATGGTTTGCAATCATTGTGCGCCTGCATCTAAAATAAAACAGATCCTAAATGTTTACAAACATGAAAAATACGTGTCATAAGCTGTTAACTTCTGCATGTATATTTTTACAAGTTTCAGTATTTTAAGTTCTATTTCAGAAACAAATGTATTGCAAAATAAACAATCATGTCTATAACTTCCACAAGTAAGCAAAGTATTAAGTGAGAGGAACATGTCACAAAAAACAAAGAGTGCAGAACTGCTATGTAATATCTAATCTTCTCTTCAGCAATGAATCCTGGACATTCTGCTCATGCTTTTCAGAAAGTAAGCAATGTTTTAAGAGACAGGAAAATGCTTTCAGAAACAAAGAAAAGAGTGCTGAACTGCTACATCATATCTAATCTCTGATATGGTAGTGAATACTGGAAAATCTTCTCATGCCTTTCAGATTAACCAATTAAATGTCAGATCTATGCTAAATAGAAAAGTAAGCTCAGAGGTTGGAGGTGGAGATGTCATTTTTTCAAATATGACATGACATTATATTCATCTACAATCACGATACATTTGTTGCTGGCATATTTTCCACAATCGTCAATGATCACATATCTATTTTCTGGTTTATTGTGACATGAAAAAATAACTCACCCACCTTCACCCTTTGAGCTTACTTTTCTATTTGGCGTAGATCTGACATTAATTAATTGGTTAATCAAGACATACCCACAAGTCTATTTTTAATTCTGACCTTATGTACCCCTACTTTCAGAAAATAGGTAACATTTTGCTTTTAAATTTCCTTAAATATCATTTAATCACCAGTTACTTACCATCGCCTGAAGAAGTACAATCATAGTATTGAAACATGAAAGCTTTTGTGTAGTGATTTAGGCATATTTTTATTATAATATCTTATAATAAAAATATAATAATATATCAACAGCAAGCAATGTAAGTCTCATAAAACATCTTGAAAATATATATAAATAGATATATCGAGGGAGTAACAGGATAATTATCCATCCCACAAAATGTTTAATATCTAAAAAACACTAAACTAATTGAGTTTCTTTATTAAGGTTTTTAGATGACAACAATCATGACACCATTTGTTATAAGAATCACTGAAAAACCCTTTAAGTTATTCAGCTAGAAATGGAACAGATTAAAATTGTTTTGTGTCAGCCCCACTGTCTTCCCAAATGAGCAATGGTGAAAGGAAAAAATCATTCAGGCCTTCAGTAATGGTACCAACAATTATCCTCAGGCTTCCATCTTCAAAGTCCATTCAAGAACCATCAAGAGAATGGTGAATAAGAACTAGAGAGATCAATTAAAAAAGATCCAGCTCAATTCATAAGACGTTTGGCACGTGAAAGAGGAGTTTCAGCAATGACAGTCCAAAGAGCAGTGAAAAAAGACTTGAAAATTAAATTGTACGTGAAACTTGTAAGGTACCTTGTTACACTAGGTTAGAAGGTTGAATTAGTTGAAAAGTGATCCTGGAATAATATATATATATATATATATATATATATATATATAATTATTTATTTAAAAATATGATTCCAACTCGCGACATAAGAGATCTCATGTTTTAAAACAAGAACCGAAAAATTCAATATAATTATTTGAATTAAATTGAGTTAAAGTAAGCTCTGTTCCATCATCAATCGAAACTTTTTTTTTGGGATAACATATTTCTGAAATTTACGTGTTTTAATAATTTAAATCAAAATTTCCATGGTAACAGCTAGGGCGAATTGTTTAAATTGGGTAGGCGTGTGTTGGGTGTTAATAATAAGTATCAGTATAGAGTAACTTTCCTAGATGTCAAGCCAGGGAAAGGTGGGGGGGGTGTCTAAATTTGAAGCGGAAGAAGTATAACTCTAGTCTGGTTTGTGTGTCTATGGAGATTTATTTATTTTTTATTTTATTTTTTTATGAAAGGGATTTGTGCATATAAAAAAATTTGCCGTAACGTTTGTTTTTTGACGACTTCATAAAGGGTTATCTTTTTTGTAGGGTATTTAAACTATTTATTTGGGCTATGGATTATATATATATATATGAACTTATTTCAATACTTCATAAACTTCTGAAGCTTAGCTATGATTAATAAATGATGAACATGTTATTTTCATTTATGATCAATTTCAACACAATACTTCTATTGAAATTAAGAGAGTAATTATATATTTTTATTGCTCAAAGTAGAATCCAGTAGTGATATAAAAACCTCAGAGAATTATATATATATATATATATATCTCAACAACGGGCAATGTAAGTTTCATATAAAAGCATCTTGAAAATGGCTATATATATATATATACCGACTTACAAATATATATATATATATGTATATATATATATATATATATATATATATATATATACATATACACACACACACACACACACACATATATATATGATTTAAATGTAGCTGTGACAAATTTCCCAAAGATTTTACCTAAACAATCACACTACTTCTGATATATTGATGTTGCTCTGTTAATATATCACCATGATACTAACTTACCAGATCTTCTAAATAAACTAAACAAAATTGAACATAAAATAGAATTAACATAAGAAATAGAAAAAAAAATACCTTTCTTAGACATCATGTTACAGTGAGTTGACAATAGCTTAGAACTTAAAATCAACCAATCAAAACGACTTATTAAACTTCTATTGCCATCATAATAACAAAATAAAGTCCAAAATGATCAGTGGATTCTATGTAAGAGCACTCCGAATTTGCAGCCCTCAATATTTACTTGAAGAGGAGAAATATATTGAAAATAATTTCAAGACCTTTCAATACCCTATTTCATATTCAATGCAAAACTAAAGGCTCATAAAATATTCCAAAATAGCAAAGCTGTCCTTCCTGAAAAACCTAAAGAATCAAAAGAATATATTATTCTACCCATTAACTCTATCACATCTACAACTGATAAGAAATTTATCTAAACTCAATATTCATATACATACATATATATACGTATATAAACATGTACTTATACACACATATATATATATATACACACATCTATATACACATATACTCATATATATATATATATATATATATATATATATAGTATAGTGGCTGCCAACTCACAAAGCGAGTATGACCATCACTGACATGTCCAGTCCATCAGTTAAACTCCCCCCCAACAATACTGCATTCATTTGTTGTGTGAACACCTGCCTCATAAAGCCAGCCATCGATCTACATTTCTTGTTACATATATGGCATGTCAAATCATTTCTGGGTGGTGGAAGTTGACTTTGAACATCATCATTTCAAATGTGTCTTTTTATATGCCTTGTCAGGCCCAACCAGGACTTGCATACTCTAGTGCAGGTCAGACATTCAAAGCATGCCATTACGAAATCGTCATATGCAACAAACTGTTATTGTTGGCATGATTTCTGGTGACTGATCAGACCTGCCCTGGATAGACATATTCGATTGCATTTGGCACATGGCCAGGTTGGCACCTCATGGCAATTCAGGGATCCCTTCTGAACACCTCTCTTCAGTTCTGCATATTTTTGTGATGCCATCAGCAATATCAGCTCTCCAAGAAACCCAGCTAGTCTTCAGCTAGACTCTCCCAGTTATCCAGATCAATATTGCACTTGTGACTCTTTAAGGCAATCTTTGTAACAAAGTTTTGGCTTGTGCAGCTGTCTTTTTCCCCCGTTTCCAATTCTCCATACATTAATTATTTTGGCATTCTGTCATCTGCCATCCGAATAACCATGGCCCGTCCATTGCAATCTGTATTTAGTATAATTGCTTCCACAGAGAGTGAATTGGCCATTTGTAGAACTACAGCATCAGGGGTGTGAGACATCCAGTAGATTTCAAGCACACACCGAAGACATCGTTGATGAAAACCTTCCAGTATCTTCAGATACCCATGTCTCACATGAATATAGCAGAGATTACATAATGCAGGCATTATATATTGTAATTTTTGTCTGCTTTTTTATTCCCTTCTGACTCCAGACATGGAACATGAGTGCTGCAAATGCATTAGAGGCCTTCTTAATCCGTAACACTATCTCATCATCAAGGGAGCAGTGGCAGTTGAGGATGCTACCAAGGTATACAAATTTGTCTACTACTCCAAGTCGACTACCATCAACATAAATTGATCGCTCTATATATTGAATTCCTTGGGCAGGTTGATACATCAGCATTGTCTTGTCAGGGCTGATGGACAGCCTTACATGACCCTGATAGTCGATCCATGAATTTCTGTGCATGCTGAATTGTGTGCGCAACCAGGTCACAATCATTGGCATAGAGAAGGTTGCACACTAAACTAAAAAAGACTTTTTTCTTTGCTGCAAACCTACATATGTTGAAAAGCTTGCCAGTTGACTTGTACATTATCATAATACTATTATAGCAGTCCCCGAACGCATCAAGCAGTAGAATTGCAAAGTAGATAGAAAACAGTGTAGGAGCCAGATCTCCCTGCTTGAGTCTATTTTCAACCTTGATGGGCTCCATAAGAATCCCACCAAAAATGATGTAGGCTTCCATACTGTCATGGAAGGACCTCAGAATCTTGAGAAAGTGGGAGTGACAACCCAATTTTGAGAGGATTTTCCAAAGAGCAGCACAATTAACAGTGTCAAAAGCCTTCCTCAGATCAACAAATATTTGATAAAAGTCCAATTGTTGTTTACAGCTCTTTTCCAGGATGTGTCGTGCTGCGAAAATCATATCTGCGGTTCCTCTGTGTTGGCAGAAACCACATTGTGACTCAGGCAGTATATTGTCAACTGTTCACTGGTTTAATCTTAATAGGAGAACAGAGGCTAAGATCTTACCTGCCAAAGAAAGGAGAACAATCCCTCTTTAATTACCAGATAATTCGCAGACACCTTTACCCTTATATAGAGGCATCATTGTTGCTTCCCTCCAATCTTTTGGCATTTCTCCATCTATCCAAATCTTTACAGTAAGATCATGCATAAGTTGACTTAAATGTGTTCCACCATAATGGAATATTTCAGCAGGAAGGCCTTCAACCCCAACAGCTCTGCCCATGTTGAGTCTCTCCATGCCATGCAGAACCTTGCCCAGTGATGGTTGGCTGTCAAGTTCTACCACTATAGGTCTTTGGGTTATTTTCTCAAGAACCTCAGGGTCCACATTTGAAGGTTTATTCAGTAGCACATCAAAGTGTCCCTTCCATCTTTTGGCCATGCCATCCATGTCTGTGAAGAGATTACTGCCGTCCTCTATCCTGAGAGGAGAAATCTTGGTGGATCTGGGACCAAATACTTGTTTCATCAAGTAGTACATCTGCTTAGTATTATTTAAATTCGCTGCATTCTGTATTTCATCTGCTAGCTCTGACCACCATTTTTCCTGCATAGTTCAAAGAGCACATTGAGCTTCTGCTTTTGAAACTTTAAACTCCCTGCACAGTTTAATGTGTTGTTCTTTGGACAGGCCTTTTTGCAACATTGAACTTCGTATCTGATTCTTTCTTGCAATGATCTCCTTGAAAGCGTCATCTTTTTTATCAAACCAGTCTTGATGTTTTGCTGACATTTTATCCAGAACTTCCTCAGCTACCTCATATATATTCTTCTTCAAAGAGTCCCATGAAGATGTATCATTGATTTCAGTAAGTCGTTTTAGTGATTCCTGACATTATATATATATATATATATATATATACACACACAACTCACAAAGAGAGTATGACCCTCACTAACATGTCCAATCCATCAGTTAAACTCCCTGCACCACAACACTGCATTCACTGGGTGTGTGAATGACAGTAGCTTATAATATATATATATATATACACACACATATATATATATATATATATATATATATATATATGTATTTTTATATATAAATTCTGTATATATATATATATTTTATATATATGTGGTGCTTATTGGAAAGTGCTCAATATCAGTGATACAGCTGACATATTTAGTTGAATGGATGCGAGTTTGTGATCCTGGCTTTTACACTTATGCGATCCTCAGCAACATTAAAAATAAAATTATCATAACTGCCATATTCACCTACAGATCTCACTTTAAACAATGTGATGATCTAAAGCCCAGGCAGATAGAAAAAAAATATATGTACATGTATACATGCATGTGTGTGTGAAGATGTCTTATTCTATCTGACAACATAGTTGACCGACCTGAAAGATGACAATAACACCCCAACACTCACCTTGTTGAAAAAAAACTTGGCTACACTCAGTCCCAACATGGAAATAAGATTATAGTTGAATTGCATATGTATTGCATGCTCGAACATATGGATACATGCCTGTGCCTGTTCCCACATTGTTTATATATATATATGTCTGTGCAAACCATAATGCCACACTTGTATGTATGCATGTTGTCGTGCTTATGTGTGTCATTCCAAAAACAGACACAGAAGAGAATTTCTCCTCCACCACCACCAAATATAATCAAACAAAAACTGATATAAATAATCTCAAATTTTAAAAAATAAATCAGTTTGGCTGAGGATTGCATAAGCAGTGTCACAAACTCATATCCTTTTTCTAATAATCAAATCCCGCTTGAAAGGAACAAAATTTCAAGACATCAAGGAATTCCAAGAAAATGTGACAAGGCAGCTGCTCGCTTTCCCAAAAAAATGAGTTCCAAGAATGCTTCCATCAATGAAAGCAGCACTGGATAAAATGTGTGGCTTCACAAGGAGACTAATTTGAGGAAGATGAAATGCCAAATTGATATGTTTTGTAGTTTTCTTTTTAGAGCACAAGTTCTGATACTTTTTGATCAGACCTTGTATGCCCACAGCAGCAGGTGTGTTAAAACTATGGACCTGTATATTATGTTGAAGCATACACTTGAACTGTAAGGATTAACTAACCTTTCAATATCAGAGCAATAGTCCATGAGTCCATATAGATTTTCTATTCCTTTTTGTTCTGAAAAGACCATGGTGCTTTGACGCATCACATCTCGAAGGCGGTAATATATGATGCAATTAGAGAACTTGTCATCACGACCTGCAACAATAAATGGAGCAACAGAAAGAAAAATTCTGGTGAAAAAAAACAAGTTAAAAACAGGCTTCATTCTTTGTAATTTTTTAAAAAGATTTTCCCAAAGATTTCATACTATATCACACACAAATTCACACTCATTTTTTTATTTCATGAATATGGATTCAGTAAGTGTATATTGCAACTGACAAGAACTCTGGAACAGACACAAAAGAACTCAGAATTATACTTGGCATTATAGACAACCTCCACACTTATTATGGTATTTTTATTATCATTATGAAGTTAGTTATTATTTATGTGTTATTATGGTACTATGGCATCATTATTATGTTAGTATGAGATTATAAGTATGGTACCATTCTTATAGCATTATTATTATCTTTATTATTAATTTGCTATTATGTTAATATGGTATTATAATTACATGGTATTTTTATTGTTATGGCATTGTTATGCTGTTGTATGGTAAAATTATTATGGTATTATGTTATTGCTAGTATGATATAATTATTATTGTTATTATCATATTGTAATTTTTAATTTATGTTAATATTGGTATTATGATTATGATATGGTATTTTTATTATTATGGCATTGTTATATTGTTTGTATGATATCATTATTATTATAGTATGTAATTACTATTATGATGTTAGTATGATATTTTAAGTATGGTATCAATATTATTGCATTATTATTATGGTATTATGTTAATATGGTGTTATTATTTCTATGGCATTGTTATGTTTGTATGGTATCATTATTATGATGATGTCAGTATAATATTATAATTCATATTATGACACTGTACATATGGTATCATTATTATGTTATTAGTTTGTCCCAAAAGTTTGTAAACACTTGCAAAAACTTGAAATTTTACTCGCCAAGTAAAAAAAACAACAAAAATTATTTCTCAAAATCATTTTCCAAGACTTTCTGTCATCGATCTGCAAACTTTCGGATCTGGTGAAAGTACCATTCAGCTGGCTTCGAATCAAAGAATTCTTGACACGCTTCCTCGACTTCATCAAACGAGTCAAATCAGCGCCCCTTCAGAAAGTGTTGCATTAAGCGGAAAAGGCCGTAATCTGATGGAGCACAGTCAGGATTGTAGGCTGGATGTGACAGAACCTCAACGCCGTCTAGCTCTTCAAATTTGTCTTTGGTCTTCCTGGTGGTGTGTGGCTTGGCATTGTTCTGCTGCATCAAAGTGTGTTTTCGGTTGATCAGAGCCGGGTACTTTTGCTTCAACTTTTCGTAGACCCGCTCCAGTTGCTGACAATAAAGTTCGTCACTGATGGCACAACCATTTGGAACCAACTCAAAATGCACAATTACTTCAAAGTTCCACTAAACGCACAACATGACTTTCTTGCCGAATCAATCTTGTTTTGGAACCGACGGTGTCTCTTGCCCTTTCTGAACCCATCGCTTGTCTCGATTGTGCTGGACCAGATAGACCCATTTCTCGTCCGATGTCTGTGGCGCTTCCAAAAACGTTCGTCCAATGGATTGCTGAGCAATTGACGGCAAATTTCAACTCGTCTGTTGGCTTGTGCTTCGGTGAGTTTGTGCGGATCTTGGCGCGGCTTTTTGTGAACAAAATCAAGTTGCTTCAAGTGTCGGTGAATTGTCGATTTGCCAACTCCAAGCTCATCAGCCAATTCTCGATAAAGTAAAAAAACAATTAAAAATTGCATAAAAATTCAATTTTTCGCAGGTGTTTATGAACTTTTGGGACAACCTAATATTATGATAGCATGGTATTATTTTATAACTGGAATACACTGAAAGAGTTTTTTCAATTATCAAGTCCTTCCTAATGTTAACATTCAATCCTCTAAGGCCCAAATGATCAATGCAGTATCCCCCAAGCTTCACTCTCTTTCTACATTACATTAATGATCTGCCTGAGAGTATACTCTGATCCTTTGTGGATATCTCTGCTGATGATACTACAATATATGGGTACACTTCCAAAACTTTAGATGACCAGAGTCTTGCTTCTCTTACTTTATTAATGGGTATTGTATTTATATCGATGCTAGGCCTAGTGAGGTTGTCAAGGCGTAAGCATACGCGTTGAGTCCTTCAGACATCTTATACTGATATTTTTACAATGATCCGATCATTCTTACAGTGACCACCTTTTCCATCATACATGATCTGACATACTTGCTTTCATTACCTCAACTTTCATTACGGCTTTTCAGTGTTACATTATCTTTACTTTTGAGGATCGGCTATTTTCCCCTTGGTAATATTTGTCCTATTTTCTGTTAGGTGTGATTTCTCCGTAAGTTTGAACTGCTTTTTGATGATTGTTCTGATGTTGTATGAACTGCAGATCTCCTTAATAGTTTTCCGACACGAGCTTGAAATAATTCTGACAGACTGGCGCAAGTTTCTCCTCCTGCACGTAGATTCTTCTGTCTCTGCCTGCAAAAGTTGATCTTGTTTGCAAGGTAATTGCTAATCAGAAGCGTATATCCGATGATCTCTCCTCTGATCAAGCTCTAACAGCTCAGTGATGTAAAAACTGGCTAGTCATATTCAATGCCTTGCAAACCAAACTAGTTACATTCCATCATTACTCTGAGTTTTTGTCTGAACAGGTGTTCTCTCAGGGAAGCCCTATGCTTTGAGCATCAATAGAGACTTAAGCTCATACCAGACCTCCAGTGAAACTCATAAATATGATCCATCACTAAAAATGCAGGAAAGATGACCAGTTTCATTCCAATAAGTACATGACACTTCCTGTTATCCACTACCTTTATAAGAACCAGATCGGGTCGAAAATGGAGTACTGTTGCCATGTATGGGAAGGACCTGCAATCTTCACTTTCCTGTCTTGATAGAGTCCAAAAGCCTCTCCATGTCCTTGTGGCTGACAAATTATTTCCCCCCTACAACCCCTTTCCTCACAGATGAAATGCTACAAGTCTCTTGCTACTTTATCACCGTTTCCTTTGAAAGTGTTCAGATGAACTAAATTCTTTAGTTCCACCAGTTTTAAGCTTCACAGATAAGACCTGCGATTCCACTGTAATGCCCATTGTAGGGGAACCACCCTTACTCCCTTAATATTCCATTGGTGAGACGTTTGTTCCACTCAAACAGCTTCTTACTACCAACTACTACTTTGTGGAACTAACTCCCAAAAAGGTATTTTCCCGGTCACTTTAATCTTAAACTTTTCCTGTCTAGAGTCAACCATTATCTTCCCCACATATCCTCAAAAACTGTGCCCCTTACTACTTACACTCTACCTCAACTGACTCTTGGAACTTATTATTATTATTTAGAGTAGAAGTCAACCTGCCAGGCTTTAGCATGAAATCTCAACCCAATCTAAGATCACATCCAGAAAACAATTCTCCAAAATTTCACCATATTCATAATTAGTCAAAAGAATCATGTAAATGTCTACTTGAATAATCCAACTTTGAAGCTTTCTACTTCATTGTGCCATGACACTTCAGGATGTTAGCAATCATGGCTCTCCACAATTTCCTCCCCTTTGTAGCTCTTAAATAACTTTCGTTTTTTTTTTTTTTTTTTTGGTTATCTCTATTAAACCTTGTTGTGTCATCCATTTACTCAAGCTCACTGGGTAGGTTATGCATTGTTTACCTTTGCCCCTCTTGTTTTCTCTATGTCCTGTAAGTATCAAATTTTCTAAGCCCTATTTCCACATTATGTGCCCTACAAATTTCAACTGCCTCTTTCTGAAGTTAAGTATAAATCATCTTTTTGTTTCCATTTTCTTTCAAAAGCTTTCTACTACAACTTACTAATTTCAGTAACAAAATGTTTCCTTTAACAAAGTAATCAAACTCTTAACTAAACACTATTTAAAAAATAGTTTTAAATGGCATATCCCTTAATGACATAAATGATAACAGCTGTTCATAGCTTCCTTTTTCCTTAATATTAATGATTTGCCATAATGTCTTGGGAAATATTGTAAACTTGATCTGCTGTTAACTTCTCTGTAGAGTTATCTTTTCCTTAGACTGGTTGCCAACCAAAACGAGAGAGCCCTGTCTACTATTTGACTCATAGCTAGAAAAGGATTCATTGTAACAAAGTGGCTACCTTGTTTATTGGTATGCAAAAGTTGCGAACAATGACTGCTGGCATTGAAATGATTAAGCTAACAGATCAAGAAAAATGCCACTTAAAGAATGGATTAATGCAAGGTTAAAATGAAGAAAGAAATGTTCGAAAATAATTAATTAGAACCATAAAATTGAAGATTAGAGAGGGTGTCAGAATAGCTTCAAACCAAATGCAGTACTCCTTGGAAATTCCACCAGACAGAGATTTGTTGTGTCTTTCCATTTCTGAAGTAAGTCAGAACTTTCTGGCCAACCTAGTCTTAATGTCTCAATCCCACCACTCCTATATGAGCTATAGCTAGAAATGGATTCATGTCTCCAAAATTTGTGGGCATTTGTATGAAAGTGAATGCAGAATTTACAACTTGGCTGATCGATCCCACTTTCCACACTGATAACTGTTACACTGCCGGCATATTAAAAAAAGTAGCAAACACAAATTTGCATAATACTCATCACAGTACATCTTGCACATTTACAAATTTACCATTTGTCCATGCCTTAAATATTGTGGCCATATCTGGTCTGGTGTTCCTGCTATTCATCTTGAGGTTCTTGATAAAATCCAAAGAGGGATCTGCAATGTAATCGCTCCTGACTTGGCATCTCGACTTCAGTCACTTTCTCACAGATGTGATGTGACTTCCTTCTGTATTTTCTACAAATATTTACATGGCAACTACTCTGACGAGATTTTTCCCTGGTGCCTCAACTACATAAATTTAAATGTGCTACTAGATTGGCATCTAGGTCCCACCCTTTTACTGTCAAAATAGTTAAATGCAACACAATTTCTACTCCAACAGTTTCTTTTCTCATACTTCCCACCTGTGAAACTCCCTTCCATTTACATGCTTCCCTGATAAATACAAATAAAAATTTAAATGCAATGTCAATCGCTATCTGTCTTCTTGAATTCCGTTTATCTTTTGTCTTTTCCTCAACCCCTACTATACCCAGTCTTTTCTATCCCTTTCACTCTGTGTAATCCCCTGTGTACTGATGGCATCTCTGCCTTACTTGGGGTGAAATTTAAAAAAAAGAAAAAAAAAGCACATGATGGCATAAAGCAAAACAAACCTGCTCTTCCAGCTTCCTGGTAAAGATTTTCCATGGATTTACTGAGTGAATGGTGGATCACAAATCTTACATCGGGTTTGTCAATGCCCATTCCAAAAGCAACTGTGGCCACAATTACCTGCAGAAAGAAGAATAAGCAAAAGCACTTATATGGGGTGGGGACAAATATAATTTTACATTATCATTTAAAATAACACCTATAGTCTGTTTTAGGGGTCAGCAACCTTTTGGAGAGAGTGGGCCAAAAACCTATACAGTGTCTTGGAGGAGAGCCATGATATAAAATGTACTATAATAAAACGTCTCGACCTCAGACTGCTCTGTCCAGAAGAGTACTTTGGTCTGGATGTTTAAAGAAAAAGCAACGAATGTCATATTAATTAAACAAAGTTCCTTATTTGACTGCAGGTATAACATGATAACAACTAACGCAATCAACAACAAATGCAAATTTCTTACTACAAACTAAATACAGTTGGAAATGGCAAATTATGTAATGTGACACTTGTTTCTGCTTATTGTGCAATAACTTCTTCACATTAGGTGAAATATTTGTCAATAACAGGAGCAAAACATCACCCACCCTTGTTCTAAAAATGACTTTTTAGTACATTTCATTTTCAAAAAAAGTTGTTTACAAGCATATGTACTTTCAAATAATGATACCATCATTTTGACATTATTCAATAGGCTTTTAGATTTTCTGCAGGGCAAAACATATTTCTTGTAAAAGTCAGCAGTTGATTCAAAATGAAATTTTGACTGCAAAATTTTGTTGCATTGTAAGTCAATTAAATCCAACTGATATTGTTCTGGCACTTACTCCACAAATTAATTTGATAATTAGTATCCAGGTGTTAAATTAGTGGGCCTTACAAAAATCCTTTGTGGGCTGGATCTTGCTGACCCCTGATCTATTTGTCTTCTTCTAAATAAATAAACAGCAAATTCTGTCTGTCCAGCCATGTGTCTGAAATTCCTTTAACTCAGGCCACATTTGCTCTACATAGACATATTATACCTTTTTGGAATCAGGATGATCTCGGGATTGAAAATCTGCCCTTCACCTGGTACTTGAACATCCGGCATTGGGGTTTGTGTCCAGATGAGGAGGGAACAGTTAAAAATTCATATTTTAAAATAACTAAAAAAATTAGCAATTTTAAAAGTTTTTAATTTATGTTGAGTTTAAAGTAACACAAAAACTTTGTGAATTTAAAGATTTTTGCTTTAAATTCAGTTTAAAATATCTCCAAAACTTTGTGAATTGAGGAAAGAAATTTAATTTCTTCAAAATGCCAAGGAATCAGTGTTAAAGTGTAAGGTTTCATGACATGAGGTTTTGAAGTTCCACAGAGTTTGTGATTTGAAGAACTCAACTCAATTGAAGTTCCATGGAGTTTGTTACTTGAAGAAATGGAATTTGGGCCTAAATCACAAATCAATTTTTTTGCTGGAATTGGACTTATAGCCCAAATGGAGTGAATTGAGGAATTCAAATTTATTTCTCTAAAATTAATATTGCTGTTTTCTAAGGTGGACCAGAGATCCTTTTAGTTTTGGAACAGAGACCCAATTGACTCTCAAAAGGAGCTAGCTTAAAGCCCATACAGAGTGTGGCTTTTAAACTAGCTTCCTGTGAAGTAAACATTTTTTAAACAATAAGGAAAATTGCTTTTAACAGACATATACAAAATATGTTTCAGAAACACAAAATATTCAAACATTTAATTTTGAATAAGCAAAATTCCTCTCATCAGACTTTCAAAATTTTTATTGTCAGCTCAGTTTTGTATCTAAACATAAACAAAGCAATTTTCTAAAGAAAGGGTTGGATTTTTATTTATTAATCCAATAGATTTTATGCTTAAACATTATTTTTAATGGACTCTCATATTTGAGTAGACACACCATTTATTTATTAAACAGTATATTTGTTTATTTTCATCTACTGACCCAAATATTGAAGAAATCTTATTAAAGAATAATATGCACTAGGATTTTTTGAACATTCAGAAAAGGATGGAAAAAAATTAGAAAAATAGTCAACCAATTTATCTTTATCATCAGAGATCAATCAAGGAAAAAATAACTGAAATATGACCATAAAAATTATATATAGTCAAAATGAAACTGCTCTCTTTTAATCATCTGAGAGAACCTTTTTTCCATCAGCATGGGTGATGCTAACCTCTGCTGGAGATTGATTCATTGATTCTTGCTTCCTTCATTGATTCCTTCTTGGGCTAACATTTTTAGCTGACATGGTGTGGATTTGGTTGATTTTGTTTAGCAACATATTAATCTCTATGGGTTATTTAGTACTGAAATCTAAATATTTTGAACAATTTTATGGCCTCAACTAAATAAATTTTGAACCCATAGAAGTTGATATGCCATGAAACGAAATCAATCAACAACAACCAGTCAGCTTCTAATTTATTCTTTATTTTTTCTTATTTTTCTCTTCCTTTCTAAATATTTATTTGCTTTTTCCAAATGTCTTTTATGGTCATTGTAATAATTTTTTCCTTCGTGTTTATTTTTCCTTTTCTTTTTTAAATAAATCTGTCTGTTTTTATAGCATGACTTAAATTCAGCACCCCCCTAAGATATTTACTTTTGATTTATGGTGAAAAAGAACCGTCACCTTCCCCAAGTTCTCTCATATAAGCCAGGGGCAGACAATCCGTGATGCTTGCATTTACAAATGGACATATTTTTTTTTTTTTGAAAATAAAAAAATTCACTCAGAATTATATCTGGCATTTCAAAACAATGTATAAATAAGCATTTGCAACTGCAGAGCTGATTAAAAACAAAACAGGAACTCGACTAACTGATCAAAAATTAAAAAAAAAAAAGTCTATGCTCTTCTAACTCCGAACATTAAAAGTTGGGCAAAAGTTTCGTAAAAGGAGGTAATCCTGATTTTGTTTTTATTCAAGCTTTAAAACGGATATTTTACAGTATATCAAAAAAATAAATTATTCCAGATTACTACAATAATAAAAAAATAATAATAATATAAAATTTTATAAAATCTAAACGGGGATCTAGTTTGCTAAGTAAATTCAATGTCTCGTCCCTTATGGAAACCATAAGATACACTCATACGATGTGTTTTCTTAAAATCTAAAAAAAACAATTTAAGACATTTGGAAGTTCATAATCTGGAGTGGTGTTTTCACAGGTACAGTATTTTGAACAGATGTAGAGATTTATCCCTTGTTTCCTGTTTAGAGTTGGGATTTTTTTTTTATAGTCTTTTCATTCTCCTTCACTCCCAGTAGCCCCTTGCAAATCTTAGTGACATTATCAACTTGATTGGGGTGATTTGATAACAAAAAAAAAATTAGCCACACCAGATTACAAATTTCAATATGCTTTTTTCTACGTTTTACAAAAACACTTGATACAAGCATAATTGTTTTGTCTTCCATAGGGAAAGAGTAGCAATTTATAATTAATCTTTTCAGTAAACTTAACCACTCAATTAAATTTTAAAAAATTAAAATAAAAAAAACATTTTTAAATTCATGATCAGGCACACTTAATCTGTAGTAATATGAAACAAATTCTGAAAAAGAAAAAAGGATTATTTCTGGTTGCAGAGCCTGTTACACAACTACACCCTAATTCATCTCCATTATTGTGAATTAAATTTGAAAGGTTAATTTTTAAGCAAATTCACCCCAAGCAAGGCAGTAAAGCCACTAAGGCACAAGAGGTTACTGGGTGTGAAAGAATTAGAATACATAAACATTGTTAAAGAGTGAGAACAATAGAAGAGTGATCAGGAAGACAGTAATTAACAATTGACATTGAATTTAAATTTTTGATGATCAAAGTTGGCTGGAAACCAAGAAGCCGGAAGAGAGTTCCACAAGCAAGAAGTGTGAGAAAAGAAATTGTTAGCATAGAACTTAGGGTTACATCTAGCCAGTTCAACTGTAAATTGATGAGGAAATCTAGTACTGTGTTTAAATTCATAAAGTCGAGATACCATAGCAAAGAGATCAACCAAACAATTACCAAGAAAGTATTTATAGAAAAGGCACAGGGAAAGAAGTTTATGGGGGTGGGAAAGCAACTGAAACCAAGATGCCAGGTCAGGACCAATAATATAGCTGATTCTCCTTTGGATTTTATCAACAATCTCTACATAAATAGCAGGAGCATAGGACCAAATGTGGCAGTAATATTCTAAGCATAGGCAAAAGATAGGCATAGATATGAACAAATAGATTGTGAAGAGAAAAGCTGGTTCACTGTGTCATGTTAGACAGTTTTTCTCTTCACAATCTATTTTTCATAATCTGTCTAACACGACACAGTGAACCAGCTTTCTTAACAGCTGCCTTGCAATGGATTCAATTTAGTCTTTCCACTTCATGTCAGCGAAGAATGTTAACCTGAGAAGGAGTAATAAGTCACTCTCCTGAAAGTTAGTATCAGCCATGCCGCTTCATTCAATCCAAAATGCTTCTGACATTATTCATTTCTGGCAATCGATATCCTGTGAACATTTTCTAAAAATGATGAAAATTTGCTCAGATTTATTATCTACCATTTCAGAATGACATTCAGATGTAAAGAAGCATTTTCATCTCAGAATCTGATTCAAAACAATACCACAACTGACTGATCAAAATTTATATCTTTGTCATGCACAGTAACTAAATAGCTTTGAGTATTAAGTTTGGCAAAACTGAAAGAAATTTAAAAGACTGATTAATAGAAGTAACACAGATCTAGTTTCTGATATTAAATCAATGAATTGCATAAAAATGCTTCATTCTAGGTATGACAATAAACTACATCCGGCCTCTGATTGGGAGATTGGAGGTTTTCAAGGGCATAGAACAACCTCTTAATTGCTGTTGTTCCCAGGTCCACTCTAACATGAAGTGGTAGCACTTGTCAGGGTCCAAGTTATGGGCAAATTGCTAACCCCACAAACACTATGAAAGTATAAAAAACATTTTTATACTGAAGATACCAGCAATGCATTTCCATAGTAAAAAAAATTACCAGCAATAAATTTTTGAAAAAAAAATTACCAGCAATACATTTTTGTAAAAAACAAAAAATTTACCAGCAATACATTTTTGTAAAGAAAATTACTAATGCTTCCAAGAAAATTAAATTTCAGTATTAAATGTCCCATAAAGAGTTGAGATGCTGCTAAAGAAACATAAAAATGCTAATTATATTTATAAAAATATTTCTGCAAGAAATTAATGGGAACATAACATTTGTATAATACATTTCAAGATAAAATAATGCATCTGGAGTTGTGCAGAGAAAAACTGACATGGAATAAGAAAGGTTCATCACTCTTACCAATCAACAAGATAAAATAAATATTTATGTTCAATTAATTTGATTGAAATTACTAAACAGAAGTTTAGTAGTAAACAAATAGTAATTTAGTAAACAAATTCTAATCTACTCACCTGGATGTTATTTGAGAGCCAAGCCTTGTGCGTTCGCTTTCGATCCATATTGTCAAGATCTGCATGGTAACACCCACATCTTACTCCTAGTTCACGCAGGCCAACTGTCACATCCTCAGATTCTTTTCGTGAAAAACAATAGACAATGCCTTCAAAAACAAAAAAGAAACTAATGACTAAACAGAAGGAGATTTTTTTTCTTGTTTGCTGAAATTCTCAATATTTTTCAATAGTTCTAATCCTGCCAACAAGGTTTGGAAAAGATTCCCACCATTAGAAATGAGATATTACATAACATTCCAGCACAACTTCTATGCAGACTGTTAAAAATGTTGCAGTTGGAGACAGCATGGGATCAGAAATGGGCTTGTCGGATGACTTGATATTCACCATGAAGAAGAGAAAGTTGAAATGGCATAAGCCACATCACAAGAGCCAACAATCTCTCCACTGATATCCTACAAGGTACAACCTTGGGCAAAAGAAGAAGAGGCAGACAGAGGGAGAAATGGGCTGATAATGCTACTGATAATGGGATTGGAAGTTTACTCACAAGACACTCAGGTATTGGCACGCAACTAAAACACATGAAAGAGGTTGATCAGGTGCTCAGCTCTGCAGCAGCCCAATGACCACACACAGTCATGGAATTATGACAATGATGATTATATAGTTGTTGTGGAGTAGCTGAACACCTCCACAAGGTAGACTGGTCTAAGACTATTTAAACAGCAATCTCTCTTACTGAGCGAGAGGAGTTAACAATTAACTGTTTATTATATTAGTCTGTGTTCTCAACGGCGTATCATATTATTCTCCAGAATAAACTACTTCTTATTTCTATATGTGTGTCAACCTTTCCTATTTACGACACAACAATAGTTTTTAAATAAATCATCATATGAACAAATCAAGGGGTTTGTAGAAAGCAAAACAAGAAGGACTGTGTATATTTATTCTAAAATCACCATCAGACAAGAAAAAGGCATATGGAAAGTCCCTATATCCACCATCAAGAAGAGAAAGGTGAAATAGTATGGCGACATTAAAAGAGCCAACAATCTTTCCACTACAAAGTATCACCTTGGGCAAAATGCGAGGTGGACAGATGGAGAAATGGACTGACAGTATCACTGAATGAACTAGAAGGAGACTCATACATTGGCATGCAGCAGAGATATATGGAGGAAGCTGGTCAGGTGATCAACTAATCAGTGACCCAATGGCCACACCTAGTCATGGTACTGATGGTGAATTATGATAACCATAAGAAAAAATGATATGACAGAGAACAAAGCCAGCAACAATATTCCAAGAGCCAATACAATGACTGCCACAAGTGAAAGAGACAAGGTGTAAACAGAACCAGGGCCGATAGGTAGTAACCCCAAGCCCCTTCAGCCATGTACCCAAGCCTGATTGGGGACCCGAGCAGTATTTATGACCCTCACTATTCTATCAACATTTGCTTTTTTCTACCTACATTTATATACATTACAAATTAAACTAAGCACAACGATTAAAGGATGAAAAATTTTTGATTTTTGACGTCATTCTGGGGTCTGTTTTTTCATCAAAATCCATGAATTTGTTTTGCTCAGGCTAAGTCATAAAAAAACACATTATAAAATTCACTATTTTTAATCCATAATGTTGAATGTGTTAAAATTGTTCAACTTTTAACAAGAAAAATCTCAGACTGATGTTAAAAATTGTCACAAAACATTGTTGATTTATTTAAGATGGAGTGATCTGTTATGACATGTCTCTAATTTGTATTTAGATACATTATATTTATTTTCAATTTTTTCTAGTTGCATTGTTCACCTATCATACATATGATCCATTATTTGTACATAATTAGGTTACAATAAAATTTGTATTTTATATGAATACTATCATATGAAAATTAAGTAGTAGTAGTAGAGTGGAGAGCCCCAATATCATAGATTCGTAGGGGAGGGGTGGCATGAGACCCTTGTACCAGCCCTGAACAGAACATAATTGGAAATAAGCATTGTAAATGTCAAGAACTATATTCAGATAACTATTATATAGAATATGAAGTATGGAAATTTTGCATTATTTTTACTACTGATATTTCTTGCTCATATTAACGAGGGTCCATATAGTAAATTGGGAGTCCACAGTAATATTTTAGTGGTCCATAGAGCAATTTCATTTTGAAACGGTTGTTACAACTGAGAATTGGAATCTATACAGCAATTTACGACCATATTAAAATACTAAAAATAGAAAAACAACTCTAAACTAAAACTAGTAGAAAACAAGATCAAGTGATGTCCCTTTTACTCTACTGTATGTTTTGATTGTAAAAGTTGAATAAAAACAAAGAAGGATATATAAAGGAAGGTTTATATATATATATATATATATATATATATATATATATATATAAAAATAAAAGGAACATTATATAAAGATTATAATTTATTTTAAAAATTAATATAATGTATTAATAATAATATTACTTTTAAATATTAATAAAATAAAATGAAATATTAACATAAATTAATTAACATAGTATTAGACTTGACATTGTAAAAAGGGGGGATCTTTGGCTATCATTAACGTTGATGGAGCCAAATATAAAAAAAAACTTGCAAGGTAACATCAAACACAGGGATCTCACTGTATAAATCTGCACTTTTTTTAATTTATTAATTACTCACATATTTTAAAATGGTTTATTATGAGTTATTTTACTAGTGTATATAAATGTTCCATAGAATTTAGTTGTTAAATAAAAATTTATTTTCATTAAATTAGTCTTACTTCAAAATAAAGCCTGTATATTTACTATTTGTATAATACAATTACTAAACTTATCCATTAGTAAAAAAAATTTTTTTTTCTTCAAATGGTTAGAGGTGAGGGCATCCACCAAAAAGAATTGAGTAAAAGTGGTCCATGAATAAAAACAAAATTGAGAACCACTGCTCTAAATTAATATATTAAATATGGGTAAAACTTTCCAGTTCTCATTTTTTTCAAAGCTGGGGGCTGAACAGCTGGCTCAATCAAAAAGTATAAAGGCAGGGACAAGTGCCCTGGGGCTTATCAAACATATATTACAGCCAGTCATTACCTCCAATATATAATAGACCATTCCATTTGATTGGAGTGAAAAAAAGAAAGCATCCATAATAAGAAAAGAAGAAATTTTATTTTGATAATTATAAACTTGTTGGAAATATATTTTTAACCCCCCGCCAAAAGCGCAATATTTCATTAATAAATAAAAACTATATATATATCAGAGCTCATGACTGGTTTCACTGAGAAAAATAAAAAGTGTACATAATCATGAGAGAAAGAAAGGGGTGATACAAGTGATAATGCTCTCATGTGCTTAACATCTGCTTTAATGAAATGGAAACCTTGTCAATTTCAAATATTTTCATTTGTTTCATCTTTAAATAATGACTTCCATTCATACTTATGGTGATTTTCTAAACATAGCTCAGATGCAACACAAGGCCAAGACTATGGAGTACCCAGTAAGGCTCAAACTCACAAACCAGTTAAAATTGATCTAGCAAGACAAGCTTGCTAACCATTACACCATGTTGAAGTGCTCAAATGATTTTTAAAGTGTAGCTTAGATGTGGCACAAGGCCACAAGTATAGAGTACCCTGTAAGGATCAAACTCACTAACCAGTTGTAATTGATCTAGCAAGACAAGCTTGCTAACCATTACACCAGGTTGAAGTGCCCTTCCATTCATACTTATGATTGTTATTGCAATATTTTGTTAAAGTTATTAAGCTCAAATATTTAACAATGCCCAAAGGGAATTTCGACAAATGTGGCAGATCATAACTCTCCACAACTTTTTTTTTCCATCCCTCTAACCTCCTATTCTACCATCTATGCAAACACTTCCTTCTCCTGTACCTTTCGCTTTTAATATGTACTGAGTGTCAAAATCTCCAAGCCTCTTTTCCTCATCATGTGTCTAAGAAATTTCAGCTATCTCTTTCTTATTCTAAGTGTCCTTTTTTTATTTCCATCCTGATGAGCTTGTCATTTTGGTGCCTTAACTGCATGAATTTAAGCGGGCGACTAGATTGGCAACTAGGTCTCACCATTTTACTGTTGAAACAGCTACATACAACTGTATGGTCTATTCTAATAGTTTCTTCTCTCACACTTCTCACCTGTGGAACTCTCTTCTGATTTCTTGCTTCTCTACCATATACAATCTTTCAAAAATTTAAATGCAACATTAGTCTTTCTGAATCCTGGTCTTTTGTTGTTGTTTCTTCTCACTAAAATTTTCTCATTCTCTTTCACTCCCATTAGCCCCCTTGAATCTTAGTGGCATTATCACCTTGCTTGAGAAGAAATGATTAAAAAAAAAATCATATCCAATTTATTTTTTAAACAATTTTACTCACCAGATTTGCCTCTAAATTTTCCTTGAATCAAATTACTGATTTCATTCAGCACATCTTTGGCAGCAATAGGCTTTTCTCGTACCTGGAATTAGACAGAAAATCTGAATTGGAGTAACCATTTTTTTAAAAATCATTTTACCCCAAGCAAGACAGAAATGCCACAAGTATCGTATGCAGGGGATTACGGGGGGGGATTGAAGCGAGAGAAAAGATTGAGTATAGGGAGGGTTAAGGAAAGGACAAAAAGATGAATAGGATTCAAGTAAAGAGAAGGGAATTCCACAGGTGGGAAGTGTGAGAAAAGAAACTGTTGGAGTAGAAGTGGTGGTCGCATTTAGCTATTTCAACAGTAAAAGGGTGGGACCTAAATGCTAATCAAGTAGCATGCTTAAATTCATGTAATCATCAGAGCAGTTGCCATGAAAATATTTATAGAAAAGACAGAAGGAAGCCACACCATGTGGTGAGAAAGTAACTGAAGTCATGATGCCAATTACATTGCAGATCCTTCAACACTAGATATACACTTTCCTATATGGTAATTTTTTTTTTCACTCATTTATTGTTGTTGACTTTAAATCTTCCGCTGCAACTTTGTCTCCTTTATTTGGGTATTCATTTGTCTCTTGCAAGAAGGCTTGTAATAAACATGGAAGATGTTACTAAATCTTTGTCCAAGTCAAGCCACATCATTCACATGGTTTTTATAATTATTATTACATTAACTATTTCCTTAGCTTTTAAATGAAATCAGTCGGGTTTTGACCCTGGCTTGAAGCAATCAGATGTCTAGACACACTGAAGAGCCATGATACAACAAAACAGTCTGTGTGTGGATGACTATATATATATATATATATATATATATATATATATGGAGGCCCAGTGGAGTAATGGATAGTGGCTCAGATGGAGGAATTAGAAAGCTGAGTTCGAATTTCGGTCAAGTTCATCATATTCACTTATGTGCTAATACCCCTTTGTAAAACATATGAATCCATCTCTTCTCCCTCCCCAGCTATGGGTAAATAACAGGAAAGACTGGGTCCTATACTCTTGGGTGGCTAACAGTCTAGAAAGACAACTCTGGATTCAAAACCTGCTGAGGCTCATTTAGATACCTTGTGGCATACTGTACAACAGTTCTCTGTATTCGTCTCTTCCAAAAAGAATGTTTTGTTCTAAAAAGCCTTCACCACTATAATCAACTGATATGGGTGGGTGGTCTGGCTGTTGGTTATAAGAACTGAGAGAATCCAGTATAGCAGTCTATATATATATATATATATATATATATATATATATAGAGAGAGAGAGAGAGAGTGTGAGAGGAGGGGGGAGAGATCTGCTTGGAGTAGACTAGCTTCAAGTCCATCAGAGACTGGCAGCTTTATTAGAAAAAACAAAACCAAGCAGTTTTTAAATTTGTTCTTTCATTCCAACCAGATTTTTTCTTCAACTCCTTATGGGTCAATGTCAAAATTTAATTTTCTTGGGAGCATTAGTAATTTCTCTTACCAAAAATGTATTGCTGGTAATTTTTTTTTTCTTTCAAAAATTTATTGCTGGCAATTTATTTTTTCCTTTCAAAAATTTATTGCTGGTAATTTTTTTAACTATGAAAATGCACTGCTGGTATTTTTATACATTCATAGATCCCAGTTTGGGGTTTAACTATTTGCCTATGGTTGGGACCCTAACAGGTGCTAACACACCGGGTCAGGGTGAACCTGTGAACAACAGCAATTAAGAGGTGGTTCCACACTCCTCAAAACCTCCCAATCAGAGATCCTTGCTGCCGAATGTAGTTTATCATCATACCCAGGATGTCATTCTTACCAGCATCTGAGTATCAGGATAATTATCCTCCCTCCTTATTCCCTTTCTCTTCTCTGATAGTGGTGGCAGAGATGGCTGTGAAGGCCTAGCCTTCTCCTGAAGTTAAAGAAAGTTTGAAAAAAACAATTCACATGAATTTGATTTTGGTGGGAAATTCTGTGCAACATAGAAGCTCACACACTTGGCCAGAAGCGCCTCCCTTGCAGCTGAAAGGGGACTGAGGCAGGCAAGATCTGGCAAATCTGGTTGCATGGGCTGTCAGATTTTTGGTCTGTCAAGGTCTGCTTTGGTTATGCCAGCCCAACTGGCACTGCTCTCTTCTACCAGTTTGGTTATTCAGATTGTGTAGATCTTTTCCTATCCCGCAGTTGGGGTCTTCAAGGGTTTTATATATATATATATATATATATATATATATATAAAGCACAGTGGAATAGTGGATTGCAGCTCGGATTGTGGAATCAGAGAGCCGAGTTCAAATTCTAACCGAGTTCATTACATTCACTTACACGTTAATACTCTTAGGAAAAGTATGAAGCTAGATCTCTTTCCCCCGGCTACAGGTAAATAGCAGGACAGACTGGGTTCTATAGCCTTGGATGGCAACCGGTCTAGGAGATGGAAAAACTCTGCATTCAAAACCTACAACTATGGGTAAATAGTAGGGCAGTCTGGTCTCTGTAGCCATGGTTGGCAATCAAACTAGGAGAAGGACAACTTTGTATTCAAGTTGGAGTCCCTACAATAGTCTGATCTAATGCTTCATTCTGGTAACTCCTGTGATGACACCTGTGCTAAGTTGTACTGGTTTCTGCCTTTCCCTTGAACAATATCGGGTGCCATGCAGAGGGGAGACATGCTGCATGGGAAACTGCCGATCTCTTATAAAAATTTATGAAAACATACATCGGCCTGTGCATTCGACATATCTTAACAAGAAAAATGTGTTCCTGGTAGTTTAATCCAGTATGCTTCCCTATTCAGTCATGGAGAACAACAGAGCAAACAAGGTCCTATTTTCCTTTTTCAAGGAAGTACATCCCCTTCACTCAGATTATTTTATCAAAAAACTTTATATCTGCTCAGTTTCATATTTGAAATGTAAACAAAGCAATTTCCAGCAAGAGAAACCAAGGCCGTCCAAAGAAATGATAACAAAGAAACCGTGAAAGCAAATCTCCAGGGGTGCAAGCTCAAACCCAAAGAACTAGAGGAGCGCACCAGTGAGTGACCACGTTGGCAAATCACAATCCAATGCTGCTACTACCTTTGCGGATGCTCAATGATTAATGTGAATGACTGTCATTCTCGGCCTGGTCCCAGCCGTATCTTTCGTTATGGTCCTTGTCAAGATTCTCAATCTCTGTATTTTTATCGAACCTCACAGAGATCAACGCCACAGGGGATCGTTAGCAATGATTAAGACAAACTTTCAGTGCTCCTACTGTTCCAGACTCATCGCGGCCAGCCTGGGGTTGTGGAGCCACCTCTAAGTTTACAGATGAGATGCAGAAACAATACGTCATCTTCGGATTTGAAGAACTGCAATATATATATTTTGAAAAAATATTATTTTGTAAGCAGGTGATAAATTGCTACAGCTCTTTCTAAACAGGTCCAGTGAACAGTAAGTTAAGCCAAATAAATGATAGGAGAACAAGGAAATTTGTACCTCATAAAAAAGATTTGGTCTGTTAAAGGAAGCTCGGAAGATGTAGCTATGTGGCAAATTAAGGATTTTCTTGACATCAGTAATCACTTTTGAAGAGGCTGTTGCAGTCAGTCCAAGAATTGGGACATCTGGAAATTGGGTCTTCATGATTCCCAGAAATTTATAATCTTTATTCAGAAAGAAGAAAAGAAAAAAGAAAAATATTAAAAACAAGAATTATAAGTAAGACAGGCTGTGTAGAAAATAAAATTGAAATCAAATTTTAATTGAGGCTGTCTTTATTCGCTTAACATTATAATCAATTGGAGACATTTTTCAAATCATGTTTCTACAGGCCTAAGAAATATACAATCCTATTATAATTGTGCCTACCTACCCTTTGTTAAACCACATGACTGTTACGGCCTGCCAATGTCTCATGAATAATGGGCTATTTCATTTTGTTCGTGTGGGGCTACTTGGTTTCAGTGAGAAAATGAAAGAAAGAAAAGAGGGTAGAAGTAGAGAGAGAAAGAATTAGATTAACATGATAAAAACAGATACTATACCTTGATCTTAGTCAAAAGGCTGAGAAGTGATTGTATTTTCTTACTGCCCCACGCTGGCAGGATGTGACACTAGGTCAGTTAACCCAAACATGTGCACCCGGGGCCAGGTCCAAAAAAAAAAAAATTGCTCCTGCAACTATCAGTTACACTGGCATCAGTATTAGTACCAACACCCCCTCTACAATGAGAGAGGTACTGCTGTATGCAGCTGCTTCCCGAGACCTTTCAATAATATTTTCAGTTGTACTCTGTCCACATAAAGCGACACAAGTTAGTTGCACTCTGTCCGAAGACAGAAACACAACTGAGAGATGAAATGTAGTTTACCCATCAAAAGACAGATACTACACTATGATCCGAGCTAAAAGACTGAGAAGCAATATTTATTTAGATAATATGTAAAATACATTATTTTGTGGCACAATTCCAAAGGAAAAGTCGAGAGAGGCCAGTGTACACTGTCTATCCTACACCTAGCTTAATCAGATTTGTAACAAATTCACTCTAACAATTTCCTCAATCAGCACAAAAACACATTCTTCATCACTCAATCCAACATATACAATAATAACACATATTTGCTGCAGTCCTACCATTTTATTATAAAAATATATACAAAAATTTATACCCTGCAATGAAGTGAGGAGTGGATGCTTCCAATAATCAAAATAAAAGAAAACAAAGACTTCAAGTAAAATTGTGTTCATATGGCCTGTCCAAGACACAAAAATAAGAGCGGCCACTATATTCTAAGCAGAATAAGCAGAATCAACAAACTAACTTGTTAGAGGCAAAGGAGAGACAAAATAAATTTGGGAATGGGGAAATATAAAAAGCTGGTCCTATCAAGATAAAAAGTGAGGATAAAAAAAATACAGAGATTGAGAATCTTGACAAGGACCATAACGAAAGATACGGCTGGCACCAGGCCGAGAATGACAGTCATTCACATTAACTAGGCAAACAAAAGAGACTAACTTAACCAGGAATGGGGTCCATCAGGAATCCACCCTGTTGGGAATTTAGGGCACTATAAAAGGAAATCAAGATTAGCCTAATTCACATGAATCAGGCTTGCAATTTGCACCCACCTTTTGCTAAAATCTGTTGAAGGAAAATGCTTTCTATCAATTCTGACCTTCATCCTGAGCTGATGCTAAAAGAATCCAATAAGATCCTGATGAGAACAATATTCATTTCATAAGATTCTCTCCATTTGCATCACCCACACCAACGTTCTTGCCCCAGCTAGCAGTGTGAGAAAAACCAATCATTTCACCCCGGACCATGGGAGTGAAACATTGTGCACAACATCAATGGACACAAGATGTTCCAGGTTTGATATGAGCCATCAACTTGCCAATATGCTCCCAGAACAGGAGTACCAGCAGACAATGGAAGGAGGCATTCCTGACTGTTTCCTCTAAACTACAAACACACCAGTGACAATCGGGCATTTCTGCCAGGCCCACTCTGATAACCCATCATTAAGAGGATGCACATTCCAGATCAATTGCCAGGTAGGTGAAGAGTGAAGGTTGCAAAAGTAATCTGCTACTGGTATTCAGGACCAGAAAGAAAACAACTCACCAACAAGCTGAGCCACTCATAGAGTGGGTCCAACACAACAGTTTCCGTTAATTCCCAATACAATGCCTTCCTAAGCAGTGAAAAGTCACTGGCCCAAGGAACAACGCACAAGGCCTGATGACACTCACTGAAGAAAGCCTCCATATTTTTGGGGCTTATGATGGCACTCAGCCTCAGGATGGAAAGGAGTGATAATAAGGCTAGGGAAAAAAAACCTGTCAACTCACAGCAGAAAACCAACTAAGGCATGTCAGTAAATCACCAAGTGCAGCATTCCCAACTTCCCATGACACGGACACTGGACACAGACCTCTCTATGGACCCACAACTTGCACCCCCCATGCCAATGAGTCAAGGAAAGTCAGCTAAATAGCTGGGAAGCTCACAGACTAGGTTCCTTGGTAAATTGGTTTTGGAAATGCTGCAGAAATGCCATGCACATGTCATTGGCTGACCACAGGCTGCACCAATCTGGGGTGTTGACCTGATGAATGAAATGATCAGAACCTTGATGTATTTCCTTTTTGCAAAATCTGCACCCACGTTCACAGTTTCATTGGATATTTTAGTTAATCTGTGCCTAGCTACCTGGATCTCAATAGCTGAATTCTCCAGGGCTTGCCTAGCTAAGCCTATCTCTAGGGCAGGGGTCAAAAACCTATAGCATGCGTGCCACATATGATACACCAAGCAATTTGCAATGGCATGCAGCTGCAAATGACATCACGAAGGCCAAACCAATAACTACTATAACGCAAAGAATATATTTAGCTATTTCAATTTGAACATATACTAAAGTATATATACTATATATTACTACATAAAACATATTCTAGAACAGGTACATTGACCTTGAATTGTATAAAAAAATATGTATGCTGTTGGCACACTGAATGATTTTAAAACCCTAAGTCGGTACATAGTTAGCGAAAGGTTGCCAAACCTGCTCTAGGGGTTTCCACGCGGACACCACCCAGACAAGACCATCCTTTAATGTCTTCCCCATCTTAGCCTTATCTGCAGCTAGTTGTTGGCTATATTTGGTGGTAAAAGACCTAATCCTCGCCTTAACATTCTCCCACCACTCTTTCCCAACGACCACCCCTACTAATTCCCATTGCTCTAATCTAGTCAGTTGTAACCTGAAGTCCTCCCTGTCCAGTAAAAACACGATGAACTTCTAGTGTCCAGCCATTCTAGGTCTAGTGTCTAACAACATCTAGACACAAACGATTTTGTGATCCGAATCACCTAATCTATGGAATGTGGGGAAATGCGATCGCAATAAAAACACCATTTTTAATAGTATCAAACAATGGAAACTGAGTAAGGCAATTGTCAAAAATCCAGTTGCCATAAATAAAATAACATCATCGGCAGAATTATTTTTAAATTATCATTAAAAGAAATGTTCATAAGATAGGAATTTGGCTAATATTATTATTTTTTTTTGGATCCTTTTTCATATTCAGAAGGGGAAGTTAAAATTTCTAAAGTACATAATAAGGAAAAAGAGCTTAAGAATTTCATAATCACAGGGGATACTGACAGCAAGAGGGTCGATGAATAACAAGATTGTAAAAATGGTTGGCAGAAAGGATATCAAAAATACAAAACTTACTTAGAACTACAGGAAGTTGTGGAGAGTCATTTATGGTGCCATCATAGGAAGCAATCCAAAGGTGTTAGACCTGAAGATCTGGGTAGCCATTTAACTGATCCAAGTCATCCAATCCATTTTCTTCTAAATTTTGTCACCAAAACAGTATCTCTAACAGATTTAAAAATAACAAAAAAACCTTACCATTGGAGATACATCTGTCAAAAAAAAAAAAAAATAAATAAACAAAGCAGAGCAGTTTTTACCTGATTCTTTGTCATCTCACCTGGCCGAAAATCATGTCCCCACTGAGAGCAACAATGGACTTCATCAATAACAAGACGCGCAAATCTTCCGGCTTTGTGCATCTTTTCCAGCCTGGCCATGAAGCGTTTGCTTTTTGCAAGTTTTTCAGGTGTCACATAAAGTAATCGCAGGGACGCATTCGGGTCCAACATGGCATTCATAATTCTATTGGTCTCTTCTTTTCCTGTTGCAGAATTCAAGGTGCAAGCCTCGACACCATGCATTTCGAGGGAAACCAGTTGGTCTTCAATCAAAGAGATCAGAGGTGAGACAACCAATGTGATACCTGCAATGGGAAATTAAAAATAAATAATCCAAGAAAGAAAGGCAAAAACGCTGACGTTTTTTTTCTTTATTTTTCTTATTAACAGCAAAGTTTACCATTTACAAAGCCTGTGAGCCATTCAAGGTAGATTAGAAGGTAATTTGTGTGGATAGGAAGGGAAGATAATGGCTAACCCTAGCCTTGAACAGGTTAAGATTGTAATGATTTGTAGTAATGTAAGCAAAGAGTCTGTTGAGATTGGGGGGGAAACACCTAAACAACTGCTCTCCCAACAATTATCAAGATAATAGGGAGAGACAGGAGGTTACAAAAAAATAACAACTGCCTCGGAAACCACAACAACTTGAGGAAGAAAAATGCCCATGGGACCAACTTCATAAGATACTGTGTCTTGCCAGCTGCCATTTTCCTGCAGCTTTTATTGGCATGTGGCATCTTACAAAGACCCAAATCTTGACCAGTTGCAGACAGGCCCATATCTATTAGGTTGGTGCAAAAATAATGACGTAATAATGTCGTTTTTTGACGTATTTTTTAACGTCAAAAAACGACATTCTTACATCATTATTTTTGCACCAACCTAATAGCTAGACATGCCAAATTGTCCCACTGCTAATGAGAAAAACTCAAATGTAACTGGTGTTGACAAACATGTGCACATCCGATCCCAGGTCTTTTTTTGCATCTTTACTGACATGCATTCACCACATGATCAGGGAAATATCATTTAGGGAATCAGTTTCACAGATCAGTCGTTTGACAGGAAGAAGCTGTTCAAGTGGAAATTACTTCTCACCAATGAAAGAGGGAGGGAATATGATTGGTCTGCTACTGTGGTTATTTAATCCAGCTAATTTTCATATTTTTTTTTACATGCCATTTAGTTATATTCTTAAATTCTCTACTTGTAATATGAGAACCAAGTCCGAATTCCAGTCGAGTTCATTACATTCACTTATGTGCTAACACCATTCTTGCCCCCAACTATAGACAGACTGGATCTTATACTCTTGGTTGGCAACCTGTCTATGATAAAAAAAAAACTCTGAATTGCAAACTAGCCTGAAGAGGGTTGGGCTCTCTAAGGCTATATTGACCAGGAAACACCACTGCTGCCACAGCTGCAGTACATTTGGTGCCCCTATGACCCAAATGGGTTACGAGTTTCATGATTATGATGTATTCAGATGATGAAAACAGTATTAGCAAAAATGCCCAAAAACAGCAAGGTCTAAATTGCTGATATGATTATATATATATATATATATATATATGTGTTACTTTTATAGATACAATTTATTTAAATAAATGCTCTGTTTTTTAATTAAACAGCATTAATTACATTTACCATCCTGAATGTTCAAGAAATTTTGTAGAAAATATGCATTCTCCAACAGGAATCGAAACTATATTCCTATACGGAAACCGTCATTTGACCTAATGTGTTATAACATTCAGCTACAAAGAAGTGTCTGGTTAGCAAAGGCTGTATTACTGTTTATAAACACACCATCTTTCTCATTTGATCATTTCTGCACACAAAACGTATTTTAACATAAACAATGACAATATATGAAATGAATTAAGTCCGACAATTATTTTATATATTTTTTGCTTGTACATTATTTCTATAGATACAATTTATTTAAATAAATGCTCTGTTTTTTAATTAAATACTATTAATTACATTTACCAGCCTGAGAGTTTGAGAAATTTCATAGAAAATTTGCATTCTCTGGCAGGAATCGAACATGTATTCCTTTACAGAAACCGTCATTTGACCTGATTTGTACCAGTCAACTTGAGAGAAGCGTCTTAACTAAGATAAAAATATACTGTTTAATAAATAGATGGAGCTTCTACTCGTATACAAATATCCACAAAAATAATATATAAGTTGGATTAATAAAAACTCCATGTCAACTTATATATATATATATATATATATATATATATATAGATATATGTGTATGTAAGTATGTATATATTAGTGGACACTGAGATCAACACCAAGTGGCAACAGTCTGTTTCATGCTTGAATGCATTCTTCATGGCTTCAAGATTATATTTAAGCATGAAACAGACTGTCGCTGCTTAGTGCTGAGCTCAGCGTCCACTTTTATATACAAACATGCTGTCTCTGATATTGAGCACTTTTACCCTAAATATAGCATACAATAAAACTATATATATATATATATATATATATATATATATATATATATATATATATATATATAATATAAGGTACATTTTCTTTATATTAGTTCAGGGTATGATGATAAAATACACCCACCAGCACTTTTACTTTTTGACTCAAGTATAAATTGGACCAATATTTACCTTCTGACTCTAGCATAAATTGGGCCAATGTTTACCCACTGACTCAAGTGTAAACCGAATCAATGTTTACTTTCAGACTCAAACAGGACCAATGTTTTACCTTCTGACTATAGTATTAACTTGACTAATGTTTACATTTTAACTCAAGTTCTTGACATTAACCCAAATGTTGATATATCTTTAAATTAACTAGCCTAAGTCATTCCCTCTTTAAAAAAAAAAAAAAAAGAAAATACTTTTGATACACCCTAATAGGATGTGGTCATTGGCTTTGAAAAGAATTAATCCTCAACTTATTAAAAGATCTTCCAGGGGTTGAGGGTATAATCTCCTGAACAAACAAGGTTTTTCTCCTCAACTCACCCTTGCTGATAAGAGCTGGTAACTGAAAGCACAAACTTTTCCCACCTCCTGTTGGCATGATTAAGAAACAGTCTTTGCCAGACATTGTTACATTCATTGTCTCCAACTGCAAAGGACGCAGTTTCTCAATATGGAACACAGATGACATCCTATTCTGCAGTTTATCACTCCATGGAAAATCTGCAAAAGAAAAATGCATTGCAAATGACAAATATAACATTGAAAACATTATTTAAATGAAATTCGCTTTCCATTTTTTTTTTTTTGACTGTCTTTTTTCTTTTTTGTTTAGTGTTGGTTCAGCCAATACTGGAATTAATTCAAGAGAGCCGAGTCTGACTTCCAGTCGGATTCATTACATTCACTTACATGTTAATACCATTGGGAAAGGAATGAATCCTATTCTTCTCCCCTCCAGCTATGGGTAAATAGCAGGAGAGACTGGGTTCTATAGCCTTGGTTTAGGAGAAGGAAAACTCTGAATTCAAAATTGGCCTGGAGAGGGTTGGGCTCTATCAGGCTACCTTGCCCAAGAAATAACACTTCTACTGTGACTGCAGTACATGTACTGCCCCTACAACCCTAAGAGGTCACAGCATTCATGATCATGATCAGCCAATACAAGTCCCAAGAGCCACTCAAGGAAGAGGGTTACTAAGTAACATTATTAAAAAGAAGGGGGAAGTAAGAGTGTATTAAGAGGACAAATAAGATAGGTATCAGTTGACTCTGAAGTTAAAGAGACCAAGATTTTTGTTATGAGTGACTATTTTTTTTTTTGGTTGATTTGTTTTCTATGGCTTACCAAATCAACCCTTTGTCAGTTATTTAAAGCCAGAAAATATTTGGAGGAAGAAGAGATAGATTCATATCTTTCCCAAGGGTATTTGCTCGTAAGTGATTATAACAAACCCAACTGGAATTGGAACTCAGCTCTCCCGTTTCCAATCCCGAGATGCTATCCATTTCACTAACCATACATCAAAGCTTACAGCACTTGGTATTCCTAAATAATCACCCATTTAGGCACTGACCAAACTCAGTGTTGCTTAACTTTGGTGGTCATGCAAGAACTGGTGTTTCAATATGATATGGCTGTAAGCCTGTTATGAGCGATTTGTTTGTTTAATGGCACATCAACTCTTTGTGGGTCATTTAATGCCAAAATTTTCCCCCACATGTTTTGCCTACAACCGGGACAATAAGGCCTCTCTTTTGGACCTGTGTTTTACCTCCATCCCTGAGTCTTGTAGTGCCTCGCAGCTCTGCCCTCTCAGTAACTCCGATCACGCCGTAGTGTCGGTCAACTCCACCCCCTGCAAAGAACCTCCTACCTCTAGAACCTTGTTCTGCTACCAACTAGCTGACTAGAATGTTGTCTTTATGCTCCCCATTCAAGAGTGTGCTTCTGAGGTCTCCTCCTCAGTCAAAGCTGGAATCGACGCTTTCATCCCCTCAAGGAAATTTAAGGTCAAATCGTGCTCCTCCCCCTGGTTTTCTGCTGCTTGCACAGCTGCCATTGCCTATAGGAACCACTTCTTCCACCTCTATCATAACTATATGTCTGACTGCAATAAACGTCTCTTTGCCTCTGCCTGTAATGAGTGCAAGCATGTCCTCAACGAAGCTAAGTCATTATTTGCTGCTCGAATGAAGGAATGTATCACTTCTCGCAAATTCGGCTCCAAGGATTACTGGCATCTCTGCAAGAGTGTACTAAACAGTAGCAAACCCTCTATACCTCCTTTGTTCAACCAGTTTGAGGTCCTGACCTCCTCTGCCGACAAGGCTGAATGCTTTGCAAGGAAATTTGCTTTCAATTCAACGCTTGACTCTTCCAGTGTACCCATAAACAATTTCCCTCTTAGAACTGAGGCCCTATTGAGATGGTTGCACATAACCCCATCATTGGTATTGGGCATTATCTCTAATTTAGACCCCCACAAGGCTAGTGGTGGAGATGGGATACCAGCCATTGTCTTGAAGAAATGTGCGCCTGAACTGGCGCTTGCTCTCTCCAAATTATACAACTACTACCTCAGGGAATCTTCAGGACTTCCAGCAGTCTGAAAAACTTCATCAATTGTTCCTGTCTTTAAGAACTCCGGTGACCCCTTTAACCCTTCTAATTACTATCCTATCAGTCTCCTTCCCCTCTTCGACAAAGTCTTCGAAGCTTTAATCAACGCCGAAGTGGTTAACCACCTTACATCCCATAATCTGCTCTCAGACAGACAATATGGTTTACGCTTTGCCCGATCTACAGCTGATGTGCTTACGGCCATCACTGAAATTGTCCGCCAAGCTCTTCAGAATAACAGAGAAGCTCGTGCCGTGGCCCTCAACATCTCCAAAGCGTTTGATAGGATTTGGCATGCCGGCCTTCTTCACAAGCTCCATGGTTATGATATTACAGGTCGATTGTTTGACTTTATACAATCATTTCTGTCTAACCATGAATTGAATGTCGTTCTCAACGGATTCTCCTCCAGCTCTATCCCACGAACGCAGGTGTTCCCCAAGGCTCCATCCTAGGCCCTACTCTGTTCCTTATCTTCATCAATGATCTTCCAGACGCCATTGATTCCCAAGTAGGCATCTACATGGACGATACTACAATTTATTCCTGCCTCAAAAACAAATCTAGTGTCGCTGAAAAAACTAACCTGTTCATCTCAAAAAGGACCTCAAATTGGTTGTGAACTGGGGCAGTAATTGGCTGGTTAATTTTAATGCCCCCAAAACAAAACTGCTCTCTATTAATCACCACAGAGATCCTTCCCTGCCCCCTAATTAGAATGTCTGACACTCAACTTCCCGAGAGCACCTCTCTGCAGCCGCTCGGTCTCACCTTGTCTACTGAGATGGAACAAATACATTGAGTCAATTGCTTCATCCATTGCAAGGAAAGTTGGCTCCTTGTGCCGCACCAGGAAATTTTTCTCCCTGGAATCGATGCTTCAAATCTACAAATCAACCATTCACCCTTGCATGGAGTATTGCTGCCATATATGGTCTGGAGCCCCTACTGTTTGCCTCGGGGTTCTTGATAAGATCCAGAGATGGATATGCAATATAATTGGCCCTGATCTGGCATCTCGTCTGCAGTCGCTCTCTCACAGATGCGCAGTCGACTCTCTCTGTCTTTTTACAAATACTTTTATGGTAACTGCTCCGATGAGCTGCTTTTGCTGGTTCCCAGTCTTCATGAATTTAAGCGTTCAACTAGGCTGGCATCCTGCTCTCACCCTTTCACTGTTGAAACTGTTAAATATAGCCGTCTCTTCTACTCCAATAGCTTCATATATTGCTCCTCTCACCTGTGGAATACCCTTTCCTTTTCCTGTTTCCCTAATAGCTATAATCTCCAACTATTCAAATGTAATGTCAATCGACATCTCCAGTTGCCTTAATCTATCCACTACCCTTCTCCACATCCTTTCCTCTATCATTCCTCCCTACTCCTGCTCCAAATCCTCTATAACCCCTTGTATGCTAGTGGCTTCCCACCTTGCTAGGGGTGAAAATCTTAAAAAATAAAAAAATAAAAATATGATACATGTTATTCTGCTTTTACAACTGAATACATGGTAGATGATACTCAGCTTTTGTGCATAAACATGTTTCTGTGAACATAATTACTACAGGTGGTAATATGTGTGTTTTATGTTGTAGTTTTGTTGAAGTTATATTTTGGAATACAGTGATTGCTTTAAGAAATTGTAGGATATTATATGGATTAATATCATGAAAGAGTTCCTTCATGTTTATTGATATACTGTTGGTAATTTTACTATAAATAGGTATTGTTAGTAATTTTTTATATAAAAATATATTGCTTTTATGCATATACATTTTTGTGTAGATATTATTACTACAGGCGATGATATGTGTTTTATGTTTTGGTTATAAAAGTTGTATTTTCGAATACAGTTTAATTTCTTTAAGAATTTACAGGATATTATATGGATTAATGTCATGAAAGAGTTCTTTCATGTTGGTTGTTTAGTTGATTTTGTTTAGTGGCATATCAACCTCTATGGGTTGAAATGCCAAAATCTAAATATTTTGAACAATTTTATGGCTTCAGTTAAACATATTTTGAATGCAATTGTATGCCTTCAACTACAGATAAATGTATTGTTGGTCATTTTGTTATAAATAGGCATTGGTGGTAATTTTTTATATAAAAATATATTGCTGGTATTTTTACTATAACATGTATTTTTATACTTTCATAGTGGTTAGCTTTTGTTTGGAGGTTCACAATTTGCCCATAGCTGGGACCCTAACAGGTGCTACAACCAAGCTCCTGATCAGAAGCCTTGTCACTGAATGCATTTCTGTTATGAGTGAAGCATACTCTGGATAGTTTGTTCCAGAAAGTATCTTGGTCAGCCTATGAACTATTTTGGTTGGCTGTTTTTGTTTAGTAACATATCAACCTCTATGGGTTATTTAATGCTGAAATCTAAATATTTTTGTTGTATGCATTTTTTTTCTTTGGATAATAATGGTTTTAGTCTTAGACATCTTACTAATTAACCCATAGCTGGGGGAGAAGAGGTGGATTCATACCGTTCCCAAGGATATTTGCATGTAAGTAAATATAATGAACCAAACTTGAATTGGAATTCAGCTCTAAAATATTACACTCAGTAATCCCCTCACATCTTAGTGGCTTTATTGTAGTGAAATGATAAAAAAATAAAAGAATAATCCTTTTTTGCAAGTGAATATTGCATTAACAATTTTTTTTAGATAACAATGCTTTTTCCAGATACACATCCTATTAGCTGCCCCCGTTTTGGGAATCCCGGATCTGGCTCCTACAAATTAGGAAATGTCAGTGTTTTCACAATCAATACTAAATAAATTTTTCATAATCGACTTACTTGTGTCATCCCAGACTTTGCCTTCATCTTCAGCTTTGACTTTGCATTCAGTAATTAAATATTCAAGTTCTTCTTTCTTTTGCAGCAAATTCGAATGACGCTTTGTCAGGTTCCGAATTTGTATCTCGGTTCTCATAATTTCATCTTTCACACTTGCCAGTTCTTTTCTATATTCTAAAGAAACAAAACAAACATTCATTTTAGATAGATAGATAGATAGATAGATAGATAGATAGATAGAACCAGATTTACATATGGGCTAGCATGGGCTGCAGCCCAGAGGCCCCAAAACTAGAGAGGTCGGGACCTCTAGTCTTGGGCTCCTGATAAAATTAAAAAAATAAAGATATAAGAACAGTGGAGATTTATTTTCAGATTTAATGGGGCTCTTTTGAAATAATTTGAAACAATTTAGTTTATTTGGGTCGCTCTAGTTTATGTCAACGTGTTTTGTTCCTTGGGAAACTTTATCAAATCAATTTTCACTTGCCTTGATAAAGTTCTTCAAGCAATAAAAATAAAATGAATTGCTAAAAGGTTTTGATTGATTGTTTTTTACGGTTTATTAACATTTTATTATTTTAAGTCAGAAAGTATTTTTTAGATTGTAAGAATTTTGGGGTAATAAATCCTACCAATTAGGGGTGGGAGAGAAGTGGGTCCATACCGTTATTATTTTATTTAAAATTTAAAAAAAAAAAGAAAACAAGATGATCCAAAATTTTTTTTAAAACTACAGTATCCATAATATTTTATTCAAAAACGCAATTAAACTATTTCTAATTCTCTAATTGGAGTTCTGTTTGACCCCCAAAAATTGACTTAAATTCTCGGGGGGACTTGTCCTTAACTAATAAACATTAAAGTGCTACAAAAAAGAACTTCTCTAAATTTCATAAAATCAAATGTTGTGGTAACAGATTATATATATATATATATATATATATATATATATACACACCAAAATTTTCTTAAAAAAACACGTTTAAAAAATAATTTCATTCATTTGTGAATAAGCTGAAAGAGTCATTAAAATCCAACAATTATCAAGATTTTTTGCAAGAATTTCCAAATCAATGTTTTTCACCGCAAAAAGATGCTCAAATTTCCCATAACAATTTATATGGTAATCAGTTTTGTTTGACGCAAGAAAGACAAAATTTGTAACCAAAATTTCGAAGAATTAAAAAAAAATAATTTTTACATTAAACTTGAACTTGATCTTTCCGGGTCTTAAACTGACACAAAGCAAGAACACTTTGTTTTTATTAAATTTTGGACATTTTTTCATCAAGTATTGTCTGCTTTTTTTATTTATTTTTTTATTTATTTATTTTAGAAAAACTTTGGGAGGTAGTTAAATGAAATTGTTATTTTTAATTTTATATCGCAAACAAATTTTTTATCGCCCGAGTACAAATATACAACATTTACAGAGAGTTGATTAAATTTTCTTCCAAACAAAATACTTTCAAAATTATTTCAGTGGAAATAGTTTTATCTAAAAATACTTCTCTAACTTCCAAAATATTTTTCTTATAAACTGCCTTTTAAAATTAAAACTCAGAAAACAAAAAAACATTATGTTGCAAGAGCAAGAAGCACACACAACGTGTAATCAGCTCAAGATTTTACACAATAGGTCGGTGGTGGGTGCAATTATTCTCTAATCAATTTATGCAGATATAGGACCCATGCAGCTTAATGTTTTTGGGGATTTTTTTTTTACTTCAGGCCGATCGTTTCACCTCATCTCATATATTCGACAAAAAACAAACGAAAGCATTTAAAAAGTCAATATTCACCGTCCATATCTCTGATTTTGTGGAAATAATTTGAGCCAGGCTCAAATATTTTTAAAATATAAAACTGCCTTTCTTTTGGAAATATATCAGTTATAGTGTACAAAAAAAATAAATTAACCAACAAATTTTAAGAACATGTTTTCTCTAAAATTCCCGGTACAGTGAAATGACCGGTGCAAAATGTCATTTACACGGTGTACTTAAAATCAGTGTTCTTTTTTTATATTATTCCAGGCTAAATTCGTTTCTTCGGAATTTCAAGCCATACCTACACTTACGTACATACACATAGACACACGCAATGATTCTTTTCTTTCTTTCTTTCTTTCTTTCTTTCTTTCTTTCTTTCTTTTTCTTTCTTTTTCTTTTCTTTCTTTCTCCTCTCTCTCTCTCTCTCTCTATCTCTCTATCACACGCGCACACCCACATATACACATAGACGCGCGTACGCACACCCACACAGACGCGCGCGGATACGCGCACAATAGAGAGAGGTAACCTATGAGAAATAAATTTTAAAGTTGTTTCCCTTGCATTAGACACACTTCGGTAATTTTTTGTGTTGCATATCATCAGGATGTCAGTAATTATGGCTCTCCACAACTTCCTGCCCTTTGTATCTCTTAGCTATATTAGTCTTTTTACTATCTATCCACCTCGCTGTTCTGCTATCCGTATACACAAGTTTGTTAAGTAGGTCGATCACTTTTTCCCGATGTTTCGTTTGCTTTCATTATGTCCTGTGAGTGTCAAACTCTCCAAACTATCTTTTATCTTTATGTGTCCTAGATATTTCAGATGTCTCTTTCTGATTCTATTTATTCTTCTATATTGCCTTCTCACTTCAGGACGTGGGTGATCATGGCTCTCCACAGTTTCCTATCTTTCATAGCTCTTAGTAAAGCTTATCTTTTCGCTATCTCTCCTAATCCCTGTTCTGCCAAGCTCGTTAGGTAGTTTATACGTTGCTTTCCTCTATCCCTCTCGCCTTCAACGTGACCTGTGAGTGTTAAATTTTACAAACCCACTTTCCCAATTTTTTTTTCCATAGAAATTTCAACCCTCTCTTTCTGAAGCTATGTATAAGTGTCCTTTTTGTTTCCATTTTCTCTAAAACTTTGTCGTTGATGCCCAATCTAAGGTATTCTCAGCATCCTTCTGTAGAACCACATTCCTGTTGCTTCAGGTTTTGCCTTCATCTGTAAGATTCTCCAGCGTTCACTGCCTTATAGGAGGACTGATGTTACATAACAGTCCAGTGTATTACTTTTTTTTTTTTCGTTTCTAAAGATATTTTCCTGTTTCTTAATACTTTGTTTATCATTTGGTAGGCATATTTTGCTATACCAATGCATCTTCGAATTTCGTTGTCGTACTTTCCGTCCTCTGTTAGAACACTTCCCAGATATTTCAATTGTTGTACTTGTTTTTGTTCTAGAATCTCTAGTTTGTTATTTGCTTGCTGTGTTGTTCCTTTTACTAACAATCATGCATCCTGTCTTCTTGCAATTGATGTTTAATCCTTTCTTATCACTTTTCTTCACTATCATTTTTTGTAGTTATTGTAGTTACTTTCCTGTGTCTGCTATCAATATTATTACTAATGTTCATCTATATATCCAATGTTGTTAAGATTGCGTCCGCTAAACATGAATCCTGCTAAGAATTCTAACTCTTTCAGTGTTACTTCATCGTAAAAGTTGAATAAGTCCGGTGAGAAGACACGTCCTTGTCTTACACCCATTTCTATTTTTGTATATTTAAATTGACTGAATTTATTTGCTACCCGCATGCAGGCGGTTTGCTCACATTATAAGTTCTGGATTATTCTAAATATCCTTCCCAAATATATCAAGCTTATCTAGCAGTTTCAACCGTTGTTTGTGACGTAACTTTAGCAAATCATTTTAATCTACATGTTTTTTTTTTTTGTTTTTTTTAAAGCTTCCTCGTCGTTCACATGGTCCGGTATGGTCAGGTATTTTCAGTATCCTTTTGTAGAAACATATTTCTGTGTTTCGAGTCTTCACTTAATTTGGGGGGAAATTATCCAGAATTCACGGCCATGGATTGGTATATAGCGGTTCAGCGCTCATTCCTTTGTTTTTAACGATTATTTATTTATTTATTTATTTTTCCTGTTTCTTAATACTTTGTTTAGCTTTCGGAAGGCTGTGGATTATTCTACTTCCCTGAAGAAACCGTCGCTAGGGGACGCTCCTTACGCCTACAAATAGCAAATGATATTCTCACTTATTCTCTTTCCTCTTTTCCAACTGGCTATTAAGATGTAGTAGTTGCACGTGGGGAGAAATGCCCCCTAATCAGAGGTACGTTCATTAATGTCTTACTTTTCTTTCGTGACGTTTTGTACTCTTTCACACCCGTGTCTATCAACTAGGCCTACACAAACTTCGCACACACAAACATACATTGTCTAAATTACACGCTTTATATGAAAAGTCTTATAATGTCTTTTTTCTTTTATTGCAATTGTAGTACTTTTGTTAATACATGAAATTATTTGTGATTTCTTTTATATTGTTTTGTATTATTTATTTATTACTTAGACTCATATTCGAATGCGCAATATTTATTAAGGGGGAAAATAATACTAGAAGACAGGTGTTTTCTACATAAAAACAAGCATTCCCGTTACAAGCCCTGCTCCTCTATGTCAATGCGCTTTTAGATTTAGGCATCACATTTTCTGTCGTCTGCTAAAACACTTCTCAGATATTTAAATTAAATTTGGCCTTTTTTTTTTCCAAAAGTATTGCTAGTTTCTACTTACACTATTTACATTGTTCGGACTGTTGTCCTCATCTTTATTGTAATTTTCACGACGTTTCGGCCATTGTAAAGCTCGGTCTTCTTTAGGTGATATATATATACATAGTCGACTCTCCCGCCGAGTTCGATGTATGAGGGTCAAGCAGATAAGTTCCCAGGAAACCGACAGCCGACAACGGCACATGAGATTTGATTATAGTGGTGAAGGTTTCGTGCAGGATCATCCACACTTTTTGAAGGGCCGAATACAGAGACCTGGTGCACTAGGTGCCACAAGGTCCCCAAACGACCCTCCGCAGGTTTTGATTAAATTTTGGAGGCACAGTGGAGTAATGGATAGCAGCTTGGATTGAGGAATCGCAGAGCCGAGTTCGAATTCCAGTCGAATCCATTACATTCACTTACGTGCTAATACCCTTGGGAAAGGCGTGAATCCTCTTCTTCTCCCTCAAGCTATGTGTAAATAGCAGGACAGACTGGGTTCTATAGCCTTGGATGGCAACTGGTCTAGGAGAAGGACAACTCTGAATATATATATATATATATATATATATATATATATATAACCTTTTATTTAGTTCACAGAAGCAGTTTGTTCTAGTTCCACGTGTCATGCCTCTTCTGGATATCTGAGCTTCAGTTAATTCCCTTTAGAAACTCAACTCTCTAAGGTTTTGCTCGCCTCTGAGGCCAGATACTGACAACTCTTTGGGTTAAGTCACTTTCTGGATTACTTTGTGGAGGTGGTGTTAATTGATTAAATTATATAGATTAATAATTGTTGAATAAATAGGCTGCGTGATGAAATTAACAATTTCCTCTCACATAAAAATTTCAGTATTCAACAAACATAGAATAAGAACAAATATGACAATGAACAGTTTTTGCACAACAGTGAATAAAAAACAAGAGGTACAAACAACTGGAGTAAAGATGTAGTTTTAAAAAGTTCAAACGTCCTTTTATGTTTAGATTGAAATGTTGTCAAAGTTCAGGTTTGATAGATTATAAGTTGTTGAACGGTCTGTACAATAAGGAGAAAATGAGTTTGGGTATTATTGTAATTTAAGGAAAAATAAACAGTTCAAGTTTGTACTTAAAGTAAAGAAATATTGTTCACGACTTACTTTAAGGTTTACGGAATTGTCGCTCTTTGATTTGTTTTCACTTGTTTGAATAGAATATTCTGTAGTTGGAGTAAGTGGTTCTTAACAAACTTTATGTTAATTGCAATAATTAACGTTGAGCTTGAAACTGTATGACAAAGATTTTTGCATCAAGTTGAATGTGGAAAAGTTGAGTTGATTGTTCGTGATAAAATATTGCTGTGTGAGTGAGTGTTCTTTCAGGCTGAAATCATGTTACGGTACTTTAACGTAAAGCCTGGAACTGTGTGACGAGTTCAAAGGATTCCGATCGGCCCACTGTCGAGGATGAATGACATTTCGTATTTATTGCTAACTTTGGTCACGTGGTTGGATCACAGAGGGTTGACAGATTTTGGCGGAATTATTTTTTGGTCAAGTCAAGAACTAGGTCGATGTTATTCGAACATGAATTAAATATTAAGTGACCAATCAGAAGTTGAGGTTTTCTGAAAATATTTATTAAGCTGAATAAGCTTTTTGATCCACTTTTTGTACAAAAATTGATATTGATAAAAAAAAAAAAAAAAAAAAAAAGTGGTAGCGGGATGCTAAAACTTTAAACAACTCTTTTATCCACTGGACCATGTGTCCTTGGTCTCCAAGGACACATGCCCCATTGGATATGTAGGGACATTATTATTAATAAATAAAAATATAAAATAATAATAATAATAAAATCATACTTATAAAACCCAGGTTGTGTGTGTGTGTGTGTGTGTGTGTCTGTTCGTTTATATATTGGATCGGATTTCCTACATTTTTTAACCGATTTCAACAAAACTTCACAGGACTACGTGAAATTACATTGCGGTGATTCTGACAGCGCCAAAAATTGGAAAAACACAATTGTTTTTGCACGAAATCAATTTGAAAACACGATTAACAAGCATCGCTGTCGCGAGAATGAAAGAGGGACAACTCATATCGTGTTATACTTATTATAAAACCCAGGGTTTTTTTTTTTTTTTGTGTGTGTGTGTGTGTGTTCGTTTATATATGGGATCGGATTTCCTAAATTTTTCGACCGATTTCAACAAAAATTCACTTTTTTTTGGCAAGTAGTGTT